GGAGGTCCTCTTCTAAGGTGGTCTCAAATTCTGATTAAAAAAAAGGTCAAGTCATCTAGAAAAACTTAGAGTGTTTGAATAGTCTTTTCTACTACAGGGAAACAACTTTATCAGGTGCCTTAAATTACATCTTTATTGATGTAAAAAATATGAAAAATTCAGGAATCGTATTAAAATATGGAATTTTATATTATTAATCTGTACCCTTTTCGTAAATTTCTTTGATTTCTGCCAACTCTTCATTCGTTCTGGACGTCATGATTTCTACTAGGACAGTTTCATCTGTACCGGCTCCCTATGGAGGTTGTACAGCAATCAATAAGCATCAGGCGTAAAAATGCATAAAAGATTTAAATTAAACTGTTATTATTCAAAACGTGATATATAAATTCATTTACGATAATGAGACTAATACTTTGAGAATTCGAAACATTAGAGTTGCCGCCCACTGTACAGCAGATAACCTCTGGAGATACTGTTGAAATGATACTTAAGATACCACTGATTTATCTGATAATTGTAAAGGTGATACAGCTAGCCTGTAAGGTGATACAGCTAGCCTGTAAGGTGATAACGTTAGCCTGTAAGGTGATACAGCTAGCCTGTAAGGCGATACAGCTAGGCTGTAAGGTGATACAGCTAGCCTGTAAGGTGATAACGCTAGCCTGTAAGGTGATACAGCTAGCCTGTAAGGTGATACAGCTAGCCTGTAAGGTGATAACGTTAGCCTGTAAGGTGATACAGCTAGCCTGTAAGGTGATACAGCTAGCCTGTAAGGTGATACAGCTAGCCTGTAAGGTGATACAGCTAGCCTGTAAGGTGATAACGTTAGCCTGTAAGGTGATACAGCTAGCCTGTAAGGTGATACAGCTAGCCTGTAAGGTGATAACGCTAGCCTGTAAGGTGATACAGCTAGACTGTAAGGTGATAACGCTAGCCTGTAAGGTGATACAGCTAGCCTGTAAAGTGAAACAGCTAGCCTGTAAGGTGATAACGCTAGCCTGTAAGGTGATACACCTAGCCTGTAAAGTGATAACGCTAGCCTGTAAAGTGACGAAATGAAAAAAAAAGAACGCTCACTTTTACCTTGAGTGGGCTTCATGCAATTTTTTTTCAAGACAGAACCCAAATTAAAACAAATTTACATATTTCACATCTTTTACTGTCGTGAAGGTCTTTTGACGTCTGTATATTGCAGTGCGAGCATCCTTTCTCTCCCAGACTAGAGAGTATGAATCCTTACCGAGATCGCTTTGTTTAGTTCACGAGCGTCAATCTCTCTCGGTGAAGCAAGCATCATGACACAAACGTCCTCAAAATTACCACCTAGTTCATCCTTAAGGTCTTCAATCAGGTCCTTACGTTTACAAAAGAAAATTGAAGCAACTTTTTAGGATGTAGAAGTACTAACATTTCACATCAAAATATTGTTTATGATGAGCTGTTACTTTTTAGTTTTCACAAATGTAGAAAAAATTTGATTTTGTATTAAACCAATTCTTTATTAGCAAAACAATATCTCAAGACATTTTCTTTAGGTGAAATGTTGCTATACTGAGTTTTCGTAAAAACGTCGTTACACATTTCAATACAAATACAGTAATCGTACAGAGGAACATGGTACTTTACACATACATGTAAGTGTTTGATAATTTGTTTTTTATGTTACCTTTCCATATGCAGTTTTGAATGCTGTGGCGATTTCTTTCCTCTGTTCCCATGAGTGATTCACCAGTATTGATATAATGGCCTCTTCACTCGTACCTGGTGTTCACAAAAAGCATATTAAATATGAGGATTATTAGTGTAAATTTTGATATCTTGCAAAGCAGAGCTAGAGGGTCATATTTCACTAATCATTTTTACGCAAGAAAAAAAATGCATCGTTTTAGATGTTTTGGCGGCTGAAAAGAATGAAAGATGGACATATGTACGAGGTATGAGGTACATTTGCCCGTGAGCTACAAATACGTAAAATGCATCAACAGATAGTAGTGAAGGAATGTTGCCAGAGGGGCACCTGTTTCATGGTCAGACTCACCGAAACCTGTCATAGCCTCGCGCATCCCTGCGGCCGCTGCCTCGGCATCAAACTCCTCTGCTGGATAAATTGTCCCCTAAATGATAATTTGATTGGCACATATAGTTTCAATATACACATGTACCTCTGAATACCTACATTTCTGTTTATGACTTAATCAGTATCAAATGTGAAACTTGTTCATAAAAATTTCGAACATATAAGCATGCACTTTGATATTAAAAGAAAAACAAGGTTTGTTTAAATAGGACCTTAATTGCAGAGGTCTGGATCTTCTTCTTTGTTTCCAGGGTAAAAAATTGGTAAGTCATTAATCCAGAGTACACACATTTATACTTCAGAGTATTGGTATTGAGCTATCTGATACATTTACCTAAATCTACCCTTTAATGCCCCCGTAATCGGAGATTCGCAACATTATGTTTTTGGTCTGTCCGTCTGTCTGTTAAAAACTTTTTACCTTGCATAACCTTTGAAGGTTTAGTGCAAGGGCTTTCATTTTTCACAGGTGCATTCCTTGTGGTTTAATTTGACCTTCTGACCTTGACCTTGACCTTAAATAAATCGGAAAAGACAGTATGACATATTCTATTCAAATAACACAGTGGGTGGCCTTTCCATCGAAGCACAGAGTAACAGTACAAGGTGGGCGTCATAACACATGCACTGTGTATAACTGCATATATATACCTTTTATCAATAATCAAATACTAACTTATTAAGCAGTGCTGAGCGTGTGTCAGACTGTAAACCCTTTTCCCCTGTGTGAATCACGGTCTATAGTGACAGTGTTTTCGCCTTGTTATGTCAGAGAATAACATGTTTGACATACCAGGAAAGTCATGCCTAATGTTAATAGTATGGGAAAAGGTAAAAGATTATGTTACTCGAGCGTGAAATAAATCTAATTTGATATTTTATCTTTCCAGTCGATATATCACCATGTATTAGATTCTTTTTGTATGCCCACGCAAACACCAACTCCTGTAACCAACACCCTTGTCTGAGTGTAGAACTTTAATATATTTGTTGAATCAAATTTCGAAGTGATGCTGATAATAAAATATATCAACATAGAATAACTTTTTATTTATACACTTTAAAGGTCATTTAAATCCTCCAAATTGAAATTACAAGTTTTTTTTTAACTTTAAAGCGCAATTAAAGAAGATAGAACTATGAATTAAGTGTATTTCAGCACATCCATGCTTAGTTTATAGTTTTGAGAGCAACAGTTTACATGAATGGAACTCCAAAGAAATCAGTCATATGGAAAAAAAAATCTGATGGATTAAACAAATAGATACAAACTAACACAACAACACCTGCCAAGGGCGGTGTCAAATGTAAACAAACATTATCTGGTCAAATATACTGTTCACACCCATGAAAAAAAATCTTTTTTAGTATTAATTGAAATAATTATAAATTCAATAAGAAAAGCAATATTTACCGTCATCATGTGTGATTCCCCGATCCCTTTCCTAGGTTTAACAAGTGATGGAATGTCCCTCCCCTCTCTTGCCAGACAGAAATACCTGAGTTGACAGGTAAAAAGTCACGTGATAATAAGTGAATCATAAAAGAAATTCATTGATGCTCCATGTTTAGGCCGTGCGCATACTTTCCTTTAAGGGGGAGGTGGTCAAAATATTTTTATAATATTAACATTCTTTATCACCGATCAAACAGGTATCGTGTATATAAATAGTTATTGAGGTGGCCGAGTAAAGGGACGGCGTAGGAGGAATATTTAAACTTATTTTAAAGACAATTTGACATATTTTTTTCTAAATACTTGCACTACTTGTGAAGCATGAAAAAGGCGGACCCCCCCCCCCTTTTCCCACACTACACAGCGGCAGTAGTTTTTCAACTGAAGTGATGAAGTAAAACATTAAAGACAAATTGAGCATATTATTTTTATTAATTTATGTAATTGTGTGATTATAAGGGTAACGTATATAGTACATTCACAGACCAATTTAAAACAGGTGAGACTGAGTGGGTGTGAAATAGTATCACACGTGTTACAATTAACCAGGCCATTCAGTATTACATGTCGATATTGGTCAAAAAATGAAGTTTGTGACATTGTTTGAATTACACATTTGAGTTACTGTTTGAATACACATTTTCTATTTTCTTAAACATTAATTTTTATGTCTCATGGTCCATTCCGACACTCACCCTCATAAACCTCAAAGTTACAGCAAAAATCAATTTTTCCCCTTTGACTCTGTGAGTTGCCTTCCATTATTTCTAATATTTTGGCAGCATTTTGATCACTGTGCATCAGATGACCTCAAGAAGAAAAACACATCCCAGAGTAGCAAAACCTGTAGCAGTCAATTACTTTGCATTCATCATGCATGTGCACTCGATACAAAGTGCATTCTTATCGATTTGCAAAAATTCGCGTTTGAACTTTGCACCTTTGCACGTCCCCATTAAAAATTAGAAAAACTCAACTATATGTGCGTAATTAAGAAAATCCTGTTTAACATAAAGATGCAATGTGTAAGAAAATGGGGCATTCAGTAAAAAAAGAGAAAACACATTGTCCAAAGTCTTGAATATGTCATAGCAGGGACCTATGTACTATTATATACGTCCCTGGTCATAGTAAATGATAATGGCGAAGATTTAATTGAGATTAGTTTATGTCTTGCATAACCTTGTCTTTGTTCAGTTAAGACGGTCACTTACTCCGGTTTTGACCAAAAGTGGATCACCCATTGCGGAGATACTAGGGAGTTGAAGCCCTCTCCCCTCAATGGAGAGGGGGTACATTATTGCACTATTATTTTACAAATGGAACATCAACGTCTCTTCCTCTTTTCAGGGCGACGATTTGTGCAGATCTATTCAAATTTACTGTACAGAAGGCCTAGGGTTCTTGTATATTGATTTTAGAGAATTTGGCCTTGTTTAACTCTTTAAAGTAAATATTTGACCATTTCTAAAGAATACATTTATTAAAGTGGTCATACACATCACAAAAAAGTTCCTATCAAATAATTTTATTGTAAAATCCATTGAAACAGGTATAATTAAAAAAAAAACGAGAGAATATCATGAACAACCTCGGTGATACCTAAGTTGTTCTGGTATATACCCGTTATTACTCAGTAGTAACGATTTACATATTAAATAAAAATGAACAAAATTCATAATGCCTCACATAATCAATTCAAGATGATGAAAAGCACAGATCATTCGAACAAATGTCTATAAAAACATCAATAAGACAGCAGTGGGAAACAGAGTATAACAGATACTGCTTACAATGGATGACCAAAAGAAAAGTAATGGATGCATGAGTAACTGATATCTTTTAGTTCTTTTGACATAATTTCTGTATGTTGAATATCAAGTTTCATAATAACAATGACAAAACCTGACTGGGCAAAAATACCCATTTGTAAAACGTCTACCATTAAGGTATCCTTAAGCTAAGAAGAGGTATTTTGTGGTTTTAACCTGACTAGCGCATATTTGGCACATTTGTTTTCTTTTAAGTCTGGCTGCCACAACATTACAACATGCCCTACAGGAAACGGCATGACCACATGGTTGGTACAACAGGGAGATTTCATTCTGCCAACAAATCTTGCATAAGGATCGTGTCACTAAAATTTCGAGCTGTGATAATTTTGATTTCAGATCTGAAATCTCTTGTTGTTTCTTCTCCATTTCTTTTCTCAAGTTTTCAACACATTCTTGGCTTTTTTCATACTTATTTCGCAGTTTGGTATGTATTTTCTTCATTTTGACTAAAAACAGATAAAAACACACATATCATTTTAAACATGAATTGGTAATTACCTTAGAAATAAATTCAAGTCAAAATCACAGTTGCAACCCCCCCCCCCCCCACCCCTTCCCGGCAAACAAACAACAAAAACAGAACTTTCCAGTACCTGTTTGAATGCTTTTCTCAAAGAGCTGACAAAATTCAGTGGGGGTTGGAGGAAATCCTGAAATTAAAGTTATCGATATACTAGAAAGTATATTTGACAAAATATATTTTATTAAAACTAAATAAAAACTTTTTATTGTATTTGTCATGTAAGCTTTCAATTCTCTTTATATAAGAACCCTATAGCACTACCATTTTCCCTCCTGAACTCCTGGTAGACCCAGTGAAATTCTTCTTCCTTCATGTCTCTATGGAAGAACGTGACAATATCCCAGAGCTCGGTCTCTGTATAATCAATAGGAATGTTATGCCTGAGATGCAGTTCCATTTTTCTTTTTGGTGTTTCCATCAGATCCTTTATATGATCCAAAGCCTTCATAACAATTTTTGCATTACGAACCAAAGCACCTATTAGTAAGTGAAAAGAAATGTGACCCCCAAAAAATAATTAGGCTCCTCAGAAAATGCATTTGGAAAAAGACTATTTGACTGAATTTAGAACTTACTGTACTTACTGAACTTGTGTAAATACACCAAGGCAGTTGCTATATTGTCCCAACTAATCTCTGGGTAACTTTGTCTGATTGTCTGTATGTAAGGCTGTTCCTTTTCTACTTCCAGATCTATGGACTCCTGACAATGTTTTTGCCTTTTACAGTCAGTATGTTGTATTTTCTTGGTGGTACTCTGAATCCCCTGAATTGTTTCTGTATTTCTGTGTATATTTGTTGAGGAGGTATTACCAGTAGGGGATAAAATTTCTGCTGTAAAAGATTTACCAAAATAAATAAATTAATTCAAAACATATATAAAAGTATTCCATTTAAAATATTCTTGAAGACATCTTGATCTTAGCTCAGTTTGCTGGTTTTCAAATTCCCCATGAATTAAAGAGCAATACATAGTATTGGTTAGATATATCTGTTACACTTGCAGTGCAAATGGGATGGAAACGTTTTGTACTTGAGAATTACCTGACCTAGCTGAACTTTGTTGATTTTTTCTGCCACGTTTAGACCGTTTGTGTTTTGATGGTGGTTTATAGGAGGACACAGTTGGTGCTGATCTCCCCCTCACATCTTCTGGCTGTGTGAATCTGAGATTAGTTTGCCACTGAGTATCAGGGGCTCCCATCTTGTCAGTTTGTGTCCATAATACAAAAATTGTTAATACAGACAGACAAGAGGCTGTGCAGACCAAGAACTCGGTCTTATAAGGTAGAAATACTTCCCAAAGGACTGCCTGTAAAAAACACACATTACTGTAACAGTGTCCATAGTCCTATCACTACCTATCCTGTATCATAGAAAAAAATAATGTTCACTTAACGTATATTTATATAGGTAAATATAAGAATAGTTAATATACGTACATGTATATCACTTTCAAAGAATTCACTTAATCACAAAGAAGAACAAATGCTTTTCAAAATATTCAAATGTTCTTTATAAATACATGAATGGAAAGATTTCTAAGTATTTCTTAAAATAATTTTTAAAAAATTGGCAGAAAAAAATATTTTCTATGAAAACAGTTATGAGTATCCGTACACTTAATAATTACCACATGATAACTTAATTATAAGTAACATACACTTAATATTATAATTACCATGACTTCTGTAATGAATAAACCTGTCCATTTAATATCTATATTAATCATCTCTGTGGAAGTCCCTCCTGAGGAAATATTATAAAACATGGCAGCAGGAAAGAAGCCTCAACTGTCTGGAAAAGTTCTGTCAATTAAACATATAAAATTTCTAATTTTGCACAAACTTTATACTTTAATTCATTTCAAAAGAATGAATAGACAATATTGGGGGGGGGGGGGGGACTGGGAATATTAAGTTGCAGAATATTACAAAAATATTGTTCTTGCACCTGCATTCACCTCTTGATATTGCCTTTGATAAACCCGATGGTAAAGGCCTGCATGTTCCGAGGCAGATTATTCTAACTACCTCCCCCCCCCCCCCCCCCCCAACGCGTCAGCACTGATGACTATATATACACAAAAACAAAAGCCCTGTTACATTTTGATTTTAAATTTCAGTAAGAGATTGCATAATCAACTGTTTCTGTATGCTAAAACCAGAAGTTTAATCAGTTAATTGATGAAATGTGGTTAATGATCGAGTCTTTGCATACGTGTCCTTACCAATTTGGAAATCCCCTAATTTTTAACTGTAAAGCGAAAGTAACATATGTTTATTGAGCGCCAAATTTTAATTCGCGCATCAATGCTCAACAAATTAATTTACACCTCAGTATGAGGACTTATTGAACGATTTATTCAGAGGAATTTAAAATTGCGTTTGTTCTTTTAAAGACAGCAACAATTTAATCAAAGAGATCATCATTGAAATTATGGAAATGGTAAATTGAAGATAAAATTAATTTTCATAACAGTCTTGAAGAATTATAGCGCACAGTGGAAGCTGAAGCTACACCCTTGTAATTTTTCCTCTCTTCAATAATACAAATTATCATATATTCAATTTACTTTTGCAACAATTTTTCAAGAGTTTATAACATCAATTTAACCATAGACCTATTTGCTTTAGACCTGTCTATGTTTTAACACACTGTAATAGTATCTTTGATTGAATTGTTGCTTTCTTTAAAAAGAAGGCACGCATTAATTTTTCTGAAGAAATCAGACACCGAATGAGACACTTAAGGTTTTTAAAAGCATTTAAAAAAAAAATTATCTAGCCTATCTCATCCTTTTCTAAGATATTTTCAGCTTATAAGTCGGGAACATATGGTCAGTAGAATTGCGTAATCGTAGACTTTAGGGGGTGGACGTGAGTGTATATCATTACCGCTACATTTTCATTATCGCAACATACTCATTATGATAATAATATTATAATGCTCAGAATGATCACCCAAAATTTCGAAGAAAAGTGGCGGTAATGCGTTGAAATGTTTTGCAATGTAGCGGTAATGTTGATCTCCCGTGGACGTTTAGGTCATGGGGAGTTAGCTATCAGGTGTTGATAGGAGTCATTGGGAGACAGCCGATGAATGGCGATAAAGTATCATAAGATTGCATTTAGAGTCAGGAGGAGATTCAGGAGGAATCGGGGAGCTATATGGTATATAAATGGGATAATTTAAGCAATGAGGGGAGAGTTGTTATATAGATCGAGTAATTATTCAAGAATTTTGGGAATACTGTACACTGAAATAGGATTTTTAATGCCATTATGTCCCCGTATCGAAGATTCGGGGGTATATAGTTTTCCCCTGTCCGTCCGTGTGTCTGTCTGTCTGTTTGTCCGCAAAAACTTGAACATTGCTCATAACTTTTGATTGGTTGGAGATAGTTTTCATATTTCACATGTGTATTCCTTATGACAAGACTTTTCTTTGGGTACCATCATATGTTGACGTTTTGACCTTGGAGTTTGACCCAGTTAAAATTTTATAAAATTTTGCTCAACTTTAACCTTGGCCATAAATTTTGAATGGTTAGTGCTAGGGCTTTCAAACTTCACATTTGTAATCCATGTGACAAGACCTTTCTTTGGATACCAACACCTTTGACCCTTTGACCTAGGAGTTTGACCTACTTTTGAAAAACTTTAACCATCGCCATAACTTTTGAATGGCTGATGCTAGGGCTTTCATACTTCACATATGTAATCCTTGTGACAAGACCTTACTTTGGATACCAACTTTGACCTTGACCTAGGAGTTTGACCTACTATTGAAAAACTTTAACCTTGGCCATAACTTGTAAACATTTTGTGCTAGGGCTTTCATACTTCACATGTGCACTCCTTGTGACAAGACTTTCCTTTAGATACCAACATTTTTGGCATTAACCTTGCCCTTGGAGTTTGACCTACTTTTTAAAAAACTTTAACCTTGGCCATAACATGAGTACGTTTGATTCTAGGGCTTTCACATTTCACAATCATGTGTATCACTTGTGACAAGACCTTCCCTTGGGGCCCCATTTGACCTTGACATTTTACTTACTTTAAAAAAAAACTTTAACCATCGCCATAACTTTTGAACAGTTGGTGCTAGGGCTTTCAAATTTCACAGGTATATTCCTAGAGACAAGACTTTTCTTTGGCTACCAACATTTTTGATCTCTTGACCTGGAGTTTGACTGGCATTTGAAAAACTTTAACCTTCGCCATAAACTGCCATACGGGGGCATCAGTGTTTCACAAACACATCTTGTTTTTATGCCCCCGGATCGAAAGATCCCGGGGGTACATTTTTTTGGTCCTGTCTGTCTGTTTGTCTGTCTGTGTCAACTTTAACCTAGCCCATAACTATTGCGCTGTCAAGGGTAAGGCTTTAATATTTGACATGAGTGTTCATTATGACAAGACCTTTCCAATGGTACAGCAATTTTTGATCATGTGACCTCAACTGTGACCTTTGAAAAACATTGGCCATAACTATTGCACTGTAGTCTACGTCCCACTCCAGAATTGTGTTACCATCGGGGGCATAGTGTTTCTCAAACACATCTTGTTTTCTTTTTTTAATCAGACATCGATCATTTGGTCCCGCCCCTTAGTATAGGATTACATGTAATGTTGGTCAAATAGATCGCATAAATATATAATGGTCAAAAGACAAATCCAAGGAGAGAGTACACATTTTGGGATGGATTTTCTTTACATCCAAAGAGAGCTCACATCATGATCTGAAATCATCGTCGCAAGCCACGGGTTTTGTGTCCATTATATTTGTGGAAATAGAATGGACACAAAACCCGTGGCTTGCGACGATGGATCTGAAATGTTCTTCTACAGACTTGAATTTAGTTATGATTGGTGTTCCATTGGGGCCACTCGCACCTTCGTCTTTAGGGCGAAGATGCGAGAGTGCAAAGTTGCGAAAGCGAAGGAGCGATACTAATACTGCGCTTTCGCCTTCGCATTTTACTTTAGTGATGCTCTTTATCGTTACGAGTTAATCATGTTAGTGGGCTCAAGTCAGTGAATTTTTAGAGTGACTGTGTTTAGGTTTATGAATTTAGAGCACTCTCGCCTTCGCACCTATTTTGCGCCAGTATATTTCTCTCGGATATTATTGGTACGCATGTGATAGATTAGGCCTGATCATTATCATGATTATAGAACTCGATCTTAAAAAACGTTATACCCACTATATGCGTGTGCACTTCAAAACTCCTGTCACTTTCCTTAAATAGCATACTTTAATTCAATACCGTGGTTTAAATACAATAGCATTCGATTTTCATTATATGCAAAAATTCTTAAATTGCTGCATGGAAACATATTCGCAACAGACTGAACAGTTCATCTTCCTTCTGCAGAAGCCATTTTTAGCTCACCTCAACGAAGTTGAGGGAGCTTATGAAATACCCTCGGCGTCGGTGTCAGCGTCTCAGGCTAAAGTTTTTGGAGCAGATTTCTTTTCAAGTACATGTACTTCTATGCCCTATATTAATCAGAGATGCATGGAGGATGCTTCTAGTGTGTTTCATTGTACAAGTCAAGGTTTCAGATGATGCAAATTCAGCTGAAGAATGACCAGGTTAATGTTTTTGGAGCAGGTCTCTTTTCCAAGTAACTATAAATCCTATATTGACCAAACTTGCATAGATGATACATCTAAGGATGCACATTACCACATTTCCTTCGGATGCTGTATCTGACCTACATATTCCGGATGAGTGACCAGGTTAAAGTTTTTGGAGCAGGTCTCATTTCTAAGTAACTTTAAGCCCTGTGTTGACCAACTTGCATGGATGATACATCTAAGGATGCACACTACTGGACTTGCTTCGGATACTGGATCTGACCTACATTTTCCAGATGAGTGACCAGGTTAATCTATAAGGGCTATCTGAACCAAACTTACTTGGATGATGCATCACGGGATGAACACTCTCAAACTTGCTTCAGATGCTGGATATGACTTACATTTTCTGGATGAATGACTAGTTTAAAGTTTTAAGTTAAGTCCATTCCCAAGTAACCGCAAGCCCTATCAGACCAAACTTAGATAAATATTACATCAAGGGATGCACACTACAAGATTATTAGTTTGGGACTTTGCCTTAAAAACAACATTCGTTGGGATGAGCTCTGTAATCTCTGATTACCTATGTTTATACAATGCAGTTCATTCTAGAAGGCTATGCGAATTTTTACATGAATGTTTTGAATTGCGTTCTAAAAATAGAGCACAATAATATATATTTAATGCATTAATTAGTTTATCTCTGTCCATATTATACTGTTTATACTATTTGTATAATGATTATGTATAACTTCAAGTTGTAAACGTAATTGACTTCACTGATTTGTACTCTTGCATGTATGTATGTACTTTAGTATATGTTTTAGTAATCTGAAAACACACTGTATTTTTCATTTTGTTTGTAACATGGTTGTATGCCAACATGTTTGGTGAATCAATAAATTGAATTGAATTGAATTAATTAAAATTACCTTCAAAGGATAGAGAGTTCAACAAAAGAAAGGCGAAGGCGAAAGTGCAAAGGCGAGAATGCGAAGTTGCGGTACTAGTATCGCTCCTTCGCCTTCGCAAAGATGCGACGGCGAAAGTGAAGGAACAATACTTGTATCGCTCCTTCGCCTTTTTTTGTGGAGCTCTATCTCCATCTAACGTCTTAAGCGCTGTTTGCATAAAGCCGCTAGGCCGAAGGCAAACACTTTGGTTTGAGGGTTCGACAAAATGCATGTTGCCCGAAAACACCACAGACACTTGGGGGCTGGACCCCCTCCCCCCCCCCCCCTTTTCCATTTTTTTTCTTTTTTAAATCTGGGGTCGACGCACCTTTTTCCTAGTTTTGTACTCTAATATGCACTACCTGATATCGATAATGTAACCCTTTTGTCTCAATTATATCGTTTTCGACTGATCTCTCTTTTTATGTATCAGTCGAAAACGATATACAAATGTATTTAAAAACAGCTTATTGAGACAAAAGGGTTACATTATCAAGATCAGGTAGTGCGTATTAGAGTACAAAAATCGGAAAAAGGTGCGTCGACCCCAGATTTAAAAAAAATGGAAAGGAGGGGATGTTCCAGCCCCCAGGTGCCTGTGGAAAACGCAGTCAATAAAATGTTTTGTTGCACCTTTTACTTTTCATTATCACATATCTTGCGCTGACTTCAATGTTTGTGATGGATATGGTAAAATTTTAATGAACATTTTCCCGCACTGTGGATTTAACTCTGTCAATTCCATAAATGTCCAAGACCAGCGACTGCAAATAAGATATACACAATGTACATAGCTAATCTCGCGTATGCATCGAGGATTAAAGTGTGACGTAAAAAACGTCATAGCAGTCCATTGATTTTTTTTGATCGCCCAGTAAAACAATTTAAATGTAAAGACTTTAAAGACATTTTAAAAATGTGAAGACTCTAGTAAAGATTTATATAAATGATATAGTAAACAATGTTTAAGGTACAACAAAGGTAGATATTGTCCATTCAGTATCTCGAGAACCCTTTCCGCGTTAGATATCAAACTTGGTCCACTGATTCTCCTTTAAGAGTAGTTGATCCCCATTGGTTTTGGGATCAAAAGATCAAAGGTCTAGGGTCAAACAGGAAGATATTGATTGCTCTTTGAAAACCCTTTGAATGGCAGTCATCAAACTCAGTGCAATGTTTTTCCTTAGGGATGAGATAACCCCTATGGTCTTTGAGGTTACAATTAACGGTCAAACTGGACATAGGAAGATATTGACCACTTAATATCTGAGAATCCTATGCCTGAAACACATGAAACTTAGCACACTGGTTTCTACTGAGGAGTAGATGACAGCTGTCATTTTGAAGTCACAAGGTCAAGGGTCAAACTGAACATAGGAATGCTAAATATCTTGAGAAACTTTTACTTGACAGACATTAAACTTGGAACACTGTCCCCTAAGGAGTAGATAACCTCTGTTGATTTAGAGGTCACAAGGTCAAGCAACATACACACTATATATAGGAAGATATTGTCAGCTTCACATACATCAATTTTGGCACGCTGGTTCCCTCTAAGAAGTAAATAGTTCGAAATATCTGACGTTTTCCTGGCTTTTTTTTTAAAACTATTTTTATCTTTTACGTGCCAGGAAAACGTCAGAACGGCGCCATTACGAAAACTGGGAATTCGCCGCCTCCAACCAGAGGCGGCATTCTCGGGTTGATTTTCGATACTTGCAAAGCGAATGAAATGTCAAACTCACAATTTATCAATAGCTAGTGCAATGCTTTTAGTATTCACCAACATTGTTTTATGGTTTGTTTATAAAATATACAATCCGATGAAAACATTTTATCTGTCAAGTCCTGTATAGAAATGATGAGTGATATTTTCTTTTCATCGATATTGTCGACTACTAGAAGCATTGTGCTATTGATAAATTGTGAAAACGGCATTTAATTCGGTTCCCAGGTATCAAAAATCAACTCCGATTGGAGACGGCCAAATTTCCAGTTTTTGTAATGGCGTCGGTTCTGACGTTTTCCTGGCATGTAAAATATCAAAATCGTGAAAAAAAACCTGGAAAACGTCGGATATTTCTGACTAAGAAGTAAATTACCCTAATGATATTGAGGTCTGATAGAGAACAGTTTTAGTATCATGTTTGCCCCTGACTAGTAGTTGACCAAATGTTTTCACTATCATTACAATTTTACAAACATTTTAAATTTAAAGTTTGTCCCTTATTGCTATGGAGAGGGGAAGAGATATGTTTCTCAAACATTTCTTTAATAAAAAAAGTGCATTTGGTTAATTTGTACTTAGAATATCTCTGACTTGAAAAAAAAAGTCAAAACATCTGTTTTGGTCAACTTTATAACTAAAGTTTGCAGGGGTGTATCTCTCAGGCCACCACAATTAGGACAAATAACAAAATTTGGCCACTGATAAAATTTAACACATCTCTACATTCTACGAAACAAAATTTGTATATTATCTCAGTCCCTAACATATAATTTTTAAGTCTCTGATGTATATTATCTCAGTCTCTGATGTATATATCTTAGTCTCTGAAGTCTCAAATATATCTCATTCACAGAAGCATCAAAGAAGTATTTACATGTACTTTATTTTCTTCACTTTACCACTGGAGAATTCAGTCACTAGAAGGTTGTCTTTGGTATCGACACATAAACCCCAGGGAAAGAGTAGATTACATTGATAAATGTAACGGATGAACTGTCCGTCCTGATCTATGATGTGAATACAGTGGTTGTCGAAGTCTGATGTCAGGATCTGACCCTGACTGTCTGTTGTGATGTCACATGGATCAAATATTTTCTTAGTAGTTGAGGAATGGCCAGTGTATCTAAATCTGAGTTTTCCTGCCTGATTAACGACCACTACTGCACGGGCTGTATTGTCAGCGACACAGATATCCATGTTTCTGTTCTCGCTGATGTATTTACTGAGGCAGCCAGTTGAATACAGACGTTGACCTTTACTATCATACTGAATGGTTTGTTTCTCTGTGGATCCAGAGTAACGGACAACTTTTGATTCTCCAATATCACTGAGCATGGAAACCAGTAGGTCACCAGAGGAGGTACTACACAGCCTATAAGGTTTCCACCCCCGTAGTCTGATCACTTCTTGTATCCATTCATTCTTCACTATGTTTACAGTTCTTGTATCGCGGTCAGTATACACTAGTTCTCCGCTCCTTGTCACTGCTATATCCCGCGGATAGTTCCCTGACATGGTTTGGACTGACTTCAGTAGTTTGCCCCGAAGGTTGTAGAGCTTTATGATATTGTCTTCTCCACATGTCCAGATTTCTTCATCATTGAGGCAGGTAATACTGTAAAGTTGTCGATACCAAGTATTTGTGGTGGTGATGAGCAATGGTTCATCAAGCAGGGGTTTGACTGGAGGACATGGTGACTCCACTGTGTTACCCTGTTCTTCTGTTGTAATGGATAATACTGACAGAGAACCAAACATTTGATTGAGTTCTTCTGTGTTGATCTGATGAGAAGAGAAACTTGGTAACAAAACATTGACTTTAGGAGGTAATTTTCTGAATTCAACATTCCTGGATTTGTACACAGAGGTTTGGGAGACATCACTGGAGTCCAGAATTTTCTTTAAATCAAGAATACTCTGTTTTACATCAAATGTAATCTGTTTTATTTCATTCTCTTGTTTACTTAGAGCAGCCAGGTGTTTGGTTTTCATCTCCTCGATTTCAGACTTTCGTTTGTTTACTATGATGTTAATATCTCTGTTCCAGTTCTCTCCCTCTTTGGAGACAGCTATTGCAAGTTTCTCGTAATGTTTTTCTAAATAAGCTTTTTTAGACTTTATATCAGATGCCATTTCTTCATAAGTGGGGTATATTCTTTCTTCTAGTTCATTCAAATCCAACTTTAAATCCTTCTTTTTGGAGCAGAGTTTCAGTAGAATATCTGTTATTTTATGCCCGTGATGTTTACCAGAGGAGATGCAGGTGGAACAGACAGGAATGTCACATTTCTCACAGTAAAGTTCACAGTGTTTCCGGGTATGGTTTGGACATTTTGGGTAACTAGGAGCAAAAGTTCTGTGTCTGTATGGTACAACATTGTGTCTTTTAGATGAATCAGAGAGATGTTTTCCAACACAGACTATACAGAGGTTCAAATGACAAAGTTCACAATGACTCTGTACTACTGCACTCTGACAAAGGTCACAGAGGAGAATCTCCTGGGCACTGTACCTTGGGTCCATCCGGCATAATCAGATGACAATCAAGACATTGTTAATAGAATCTAAAAGAAAGGGAGAATGTTTTATAAATGATATATTATATATTAATAATATTAAATGATATATTATTTATTAATATTAATACAGGGTTGTCCCTAATACCTTGGGGCGGGGGAATTTCCCCACCTATATTGATGCAACCCCAGTCCCCCTTCTACTTTTTTAATGTCCCCTGCTATTCTGATTCTCAGGGACAACCCTGATTAATATATTAAAGATAACCGGACATACCATAAACAAATGTTCTTATCTCCCATACAGAAGAGTTACATTGCTATTTTTTCAATATTTCTTTCAATAAAAATCTAATTATGAAAATTCAGTTATGTAAAATGGAAAATGTTCCTGGACACTTTAGAGTAACAAAACTTTACAGTAACAAAACTTCATACATTTCTAAAACTTAAAAAAAAATTATTTTGAACTATAATGATACATTTTACAAATTTTCATCAAATTATATGGCTTGGTCAAATATAAAGTTGTTTAACTAAACATATATAACTTCTTTACTGAAAAGGGCACCTATTTAAGTGTAACAGGAGAGGAGAAAAATGCAACATACCAGACTGAGATTCAAACCTGGGCTCCCTGAACCTCTAGTCAGGTGCTCTACCAACTGAGCTATCTGGCCACTGGCGATCGAACCCATCTGATCACCACATAAGCAACAATATTTGATTTGGGAAGAAAAAGTTTGTGTTATTTATCTGTTAATAAGATGGTAGTGGAAGCTACCATATAAGTTTCATCTCTTCTGATCAAGTGGTTCTTGAGAAGAATATTTTTTGATGACCCCATCCCATTTTTACCTTTTCTTGATTATCTCCCCTTGGAATAGGACTTGGCCCTTTATTTGAAAAAAATCAGAACCCCCTTCACCCAAAGATGTTTTGTGTCAATTTCAATTTCGGTTAAAATTGGCCAAGTAGTAACTAGTTCTTGAGAAGAAGTTGAAAATGTGAAAAGTTTCCAGACGCCAGACAACAGATGAATAGAAACTCACTTGAGCTTTCAGTTCAGGTGAGCTAAAAAACATTAGAAATATTTCAAATTGTCAGAGGTACCTTTATCATAAATTCATACTTAACAGTTACATTTCCTCATAGATAAAAAGAAGGACAAAGCAGTAAAATAATAAAAACACTAATAAGAAAGTGATCCAAACAGTGATTCACTTACTTGTTTCATAAAGTAAGGCCAACTTTAAAAAATGTTTGCTTGCCCTCTCCTGACTCAGGATGAAAAAATTGAGTTGGTATAGGCACAGGTGCTTGTGGACAGGAACCCCCCCCCCCCCCTGGAATATACACCCTGTGTCCAAGAATATTTTTATTCGTCTTTTTCCATAAATTAATCTTCTAGTACACATTTACAATGTATTCCATATGAAAAATCCAAAAAATAACGTAAAATTAACCTTTTATTAAAAAATCATACCCGTGGTATTACAAAATAGAGAAAGTAAGTCACTTCCATTTGTTAACACTGGACCCCTCTTGGATATCGGGCCTAAAATATCATATGCCTACTATATGTCACCAAAATATGTTATTATATCTTGTTTCAGTAGATATTTTTGTCTTTAATATTGCTATTTAATTGCCTAGGCATTCCACAATAATCCATGTATTCATCGTCAAACATGAAAAATGCTACAAGATTTGGAAATGTCAAAGTAGAAATTACGGAAGTGATGCAGAAACAACACCTAGCGGGTAACTCTCGAGTTCCGAGTATTACAGAATTAAGGGAAAAGCCAGAAGTCTACGAAAAAGTTCGGGAAAATTTTGATAAAGAAATTGAAATCGATTCATTAGAATAGAATCGCTTAAACATTATAAGACATGTATCCCCCCCCCCTTCTACACGGACATGCTTGCAAATAATTCTGATATTACCCCCGGTATTAAGCTATATAATTATGTGCAATAATTTAATATTCTTATACAATGATTATCATTTGCCTTCGAGATTTGATTTCATGGATAAAGGATTGCTGAGTAGTTATGTATATGACGTTTTACATTTTGTGGTGGACATGAATTTGTGGGTCTCTAAATCATACCTCAAAAACAAAGAAAATTACCCCCCCCCCCCCCCAAAAAAAATTAGTGATTTCACAGCATTTGATATTAATTGACAACTTATTATAGAATTTAATTTGAGTGGTCATGATGTTTGCTTACATTAACATCAAGTATATGTTTAAAGAAAACCACAACTTGGCACAAGGGCTTGAAGGGGCGAGTCCACTCTTGGCGAACAGGGAAATGGGGCGAAACCACTAGAAGGGAACAGGTATATTGGGGGCAAAACCACTCGGATTCCTTAATTATCACTGCTGAATAAACCCATTTATATGAATTTATTTTAAAAAGTTGTTAATGAAAAATAATTGAATTAAACTGACTTGTGTAAAAACAACATATTTTTTAAAAGTGTTTATAAAAATCAAATCTAGACATTTTAAATGTATAAATTACATGTACATACACACAATCATTTAAACATTATACATGTATATGACGCAAAACATCTTTGCATGAAAAGGTCGTACTCTGTTGGGGCGAGTGTTTTTAGTGCGAATCGTCAATAGGGGCGAAACTCTCCGTTACCCGAAACAGCGGGCACCTGCACATGGTATTACCTTTCAAATATTTCTTCGAATACCCAATAAGTGTAAGACTGCCATGTATAAAAATCATACAATAAGATAAGTACGTCGTCTTAAACTATGTTATCCATTTCTAATCAGGTTAATTACCTGCAAAAGAAGAAGGATGCGGCACTACATTCACATCGGTCCCAATTCTAAAACATGAAAAATTAAGTCGTACGAAGAATATATTCGACTGAGCTGAAATATAATTGTTAACCCCAAGCCTTATTTTTCATACCACAGTATCTTCATCTTCGGTAAAACTTGAATTATATTAAACCTGTCGAGTTGAATATAAAAGTTTTAGTTTTTTGTTGTATTTTTAACATGTATATCGTATACACAAAATACAATTTATAAATATTTTTGAAGTCAGGATTCTAAAAGTATTCTGAATAATAGTCATTATATGTTAATGATACAATACACAACAATTTAACTAGTAATGTAGTAAAAAATATAGTGTTTAGAGTTTTATTCCACATCTTCAAATACATTAAATAAATAATTTTCCTGAATTTAAGTTCGGTGCATCGAAAAGAAATACCCGGTTTTCGGGAAGGTATCTAAATAAGAAAGAAAATACATAAAGCGGTAAAATATTCACGAATCTACTTTTACCTGGTTACTAGTGTAATAGTCATGATTTTAAATTGATTTTAATTATAACAACAATTTTCTTTCAGATGCCATTGAAAGTTATGAAATAACTTTTAATAAACTTGATTTGAAATAAAAATATTTCATTTAAATATTAAACATTTAAATAAATTCATAACAACTACCTCTAATTAAAGTCTAGAAAGCTCTAGAGTTCTAAATTACAGTTTAACTTTTAACCTTGAATAAATAAATAAGTAAGAATTGCCATTGGTTAATATTTTCCCACCAAAACCTTTAACTCCCTTTGTCCAGAGTGTCCAGATAATTACTAGCCTAGGAGCAGTCAGTGTGTAAAGTTGTATTTTTGATATTTGGAGTATTTTATAGACCACTGACAGTAAGTTGACTTTTTGACATTCTTATTTCACATTAATACTTTCATATTAATAATTGTATGAATGAAAAGTGGCATATGAGAGAATTTATTAAATTATTTAAGTTTGTCAAAGCTGATGAACTAGTTGATTTTAAACTTTGTAATGAAATGTATTTTATGACACAAAAGAATATATAGTGTATAAATGTTATTTATGAATTGTAGATATTAAATCCATAGCAATACATATACACTGTATTAGAAATAGAGATGGATCCATACCCATAGTTTGGTATGTAGCTATGTGTACATGTATATTGTAAATATTTATCCACTATATGAAGTGAATATATAAAGAGAAATATTTGTATTTAAAGTCAAGAGATATAACTCATTGACCTGTGTCAATATTTATTATTTTATGATCTAATTAATATGTAGTAATTATCTGATTTTATAATGACAATAGATTCTGCTGTTATGTGATATCAAATTTAGTTAATGTATTTTATATTGTTTTGCAGAATCTGGTATTTAAGTATATAATCCATGTAATAAACATCACACTGATTTCAAAACCATCTTGTCTTGATTGCTGCTCCGCTACACTAGCAGATACTCATCTTTGGTACTTTTTTTTTGGGGGGGGGGTCATATTTTATTTCAGCTAGGGGTATTTTGAACTTCACGTGAAATTAAAAATATGAACGTATATCCCCCCCCCCAAAAAAAAACATGAAAATTAAGGGTCACGGGAAACCTTTATTACATAATGAAATAGCGTTTAAATTAATTTATTTGATGATAATTCGGTGCTGATAATGCAGAGTAATAATTTGTTAACTATTTTTGATTTTAACTAAATGAAGTTAGGAACCAGATTTCAAGTGTAAATTTCGTCGCTCAAATTTATATGGATTTCTTGGCATTATACATTTTGTTAATAATGAGTAACCCCCCCCCCTCCCCCCCCAAAAAAAAATGCACACTGGGTAAGCCTGTTATTGATTTCTAGATCTACGAAAAACATAAATTTATAGCTCTTCTACAAAAATTATATACATATCTCGACATTCATGATTCTCGACGATTGATGTAATAAATTCTAAAAACACAATCCTTACTTACGGAGTGGAGTGAACCAACACCATTGGCTTGATGCAGTTAACTTCCCGTCACCAATTTTGATGCTTCAAGTAATTTCATCGATTCTGTTGCGATATACTTATGACTTGGTGATCAATAAGGGGCGTGTGTACATTCCATGTGCTACCTTGTATGCCTCAAATACTACATTTTACTTTCATTTGAACACAAGAACAGAGCAAGTGCTTGACCTTGAATACACACTGAAGGAAGGACTCTCTCTGTGTGTATGAGGCGTGTGTGTGTGATGGGGGGGGGGGGGGGGGAGAAGAACTCTGTACTGTAAATGCAAAATTTCATATATCACTCCAAAGATTAACAAACTGTACACTGTAATGATTTATACAATAACATGGGTATATCTATAATAAGTTTTATTTATGAGCAAGCATTATAAATAAAACAAATCTAAGTAGTTACAATCACGAAACAAATACTAGGAGATGACATTACTCTAAATCATGGTTACAAAGTTTCATTGAAAGTTGAGTAAAATTTGTGAAGATTAACAACAGGGATCCATATGTATTAAATAGGTCCATAACATTATATAAAGTACACAAACTATTAATACTGACCTGGCAGTAATAATAAATTTACAATGCTTACCATGTTTACACAAGATTATAATTTCTTTGGATAGAAACACAGTTCATAATTTCAAAAGGCATTCAAAATCAATTCTATTGTTTTTTCCCCAAAATTTAAAATGCAACATGTGGAAAACCATATACATGCACAAAAATAATAGAGTAATAATCAATCAAATAAAAAAAATAAATAAAAGCAAAAATAGTAACCTGAGGTAATTCATTAAGGGATTTCTGAATTCCAGCAATTGCATTGACCTAGGTAAAAAAAAAAAAAAAATATATGTCTATAAAAGTATTAATATGAACTCCATGAATTATCTTCCAACTTTAAAAATATGTCATACTTGGCAAGATATGTGTATGAATTACTACCATCAAATTAAACTTGGTCTAATTATTATAAATCTTATGAATTAAAACCTAACCTCATACATAACTTCAGCAAATACTGAGTATCTTCTAGCTTTTAGGTATAATTATTCCTGATTAGGGAACAAATGGCATCTTCTGAAACAGACTAACAGAGGAGGGGGGTGGGGGTGTAGAAAGAATCGTTTCAAAAATTTAAATTTGTCTCCAAAGAAGTCTTGTCAGAAATCAACTGTATACATCTAAATTTACAACAGATCCTTTTTTTAACAGTTGGTGCATCTAAACCAATAAATATTAACTTATCAAAGGATAGAGTGAGAGAAAAAGTCTTTAATATGTTAAAACACAAATTCAATTGCATTTTGCATAGAAATATAAATAAGTCTTTTGTTTAAAAAAATTAGGGCAAAGATCTAGGACTATAACAAGTTATTTAAACAACACTCACTACTATGAATTATAGTAAGCATGTACACAAGAGAGAGCGAAATATTAGTCATGATTTACATCCTGTACAGTGCAAAAATATATTATTGAAAAATTACATGTTAAAAAAAGACACAAAATGAATATAACAAAAAAATTTGAGCCAACTTTATTAAAAAATACTGCATGTGGCCAACATTGATCAATTTATATATGTATTGTTCATTTTATCCCATTAAAGAAATAAGTCAGTCTGCTATGTTGACATTCTTATTTAGGAAAGAGTATTTTAAACAAAGGCTGCTCATTTAAGGTACCTTTTGCTGACAATGGTTTGCAGACAATAGAAGTTACACATTGGAGCCTTGAAGGGTGCTGGAATGTTTCTAGCTTTCCCACTATGTGGATTGAAAAGGACAGCATAGAAAGTTCCGCTGCGATTTCCTAGAATAAGAACTTCTCCTTCATGCATCACAGCTCCAAAATGATCAAATTTGACAATGTTACAGACTATGGAGGCTCCTCTGTCCTCGGAATACTCCACAATCTGTCCCTCCCTAAAAATAATGATTAATTTGTCCTCAAAGTGGACAGCTCTTCCCATGATGCCTGCACATGTTTCTGGAAGGTTTCCTAGTAACCCCTTTGTTTTTGTGGCAACATCAAAATACTGAATGACAGAAGCAGCTGTTCGATCTTTCAGCTTTCCCCCAAAAGTGATAATTTTTGTACCAAACACAGCAGCGGTCATGGAAGACACAGGAACTTCTAGTTGACCTACTTCTTCATAGGTTTCTGTTTCTGGGTCAAACTTTTCAATGCTAGACAGGGTTTCATTGGTCTTGGAGGTTCCTCCTACTAAGTAGAGGTGTTTACCGACAGCTACCATGGAATGAGACCACCGCTCGATCACCATCTTCTTGCACTCGGTCCACATGTTTTGCTCTGTGTTGAAGTGAAGCATCAGGTTTTGTTCATTATAACCCCCAGATATGTAGATATCCCTGTTCAGTATACAAACTGCAAAACAGGGTCCTGGCTCTACTGGGAGTGTAGATAGTTTGAACTTACTGTTGTGTCTGAAGCTGTAGCACAGGACTTCGATCTTTTGAGGATTTGGTTCTCGACTTCTTGTTCCCACCATGCAGATCACTTCTTCTTGTCTGTATTCAGATTCTGGACAAGTATATTCATTGGGAAGGGCAGAGTTAATTTTGTCAATGGCTTCTAAGACAAGACTACGGCACCCTGAGCATTCTTCTATCTCCTCACAGTCTCTGATGTTACAAAGGTAATCCAAAGACATCTGTGTTAGGCGTAGGACCTGGAACACTTCCTTTAACCCCTTCTTCCTGGCTTTGTCACCCCTAACCCACTGCAGCACAGCATCACAAACATCCTCCTCCTTACTCGTGAACAAATCCTTACAGCCTATGATCAGAATGAGTTCATCCTTTGTGACATGTAGGAATTCTTCACATTTGGAAACTTCTGGAAATTTCTGCTGAATGGTGTTCCAGCTGTCTTCTTGCAACTCTGGTAGTCCATGCCCGGTAGCCATTTTCCAGATCCCAATACAGTTGTTATGAGACAAGCTCTTCCTTAAAAATTCACTACAAATGGACTGAAGACCCTTGATTTGTAGCATTGATGAGCAGGAGAGCAGGTGGTAGACATTGCTGTTCTTGACTGAACTTTGTCCTGTGTATATGTACTCTAAAGCAGCCTTAAAGATCTCTTTATCCAAGTCCTTCAGGTGTACTTTTGGCAAACCACTCTCCTTAAAATCTGAAAAAATTCAAATGTTTTGAATCTTTAAATTTAGATCAAGAGTTATCAGTTATCACAATTTTTTTCCAACATCATTACCAGAAACACACTTCAAATTATCTTCTAATGCATAGATCCAAGGAAGAAATTTAAAAAAAAATCATTAAAAAAAATTAATAAAAAATTTATTAAAAAGTTTATAGAAATGCCTGTATGGAGAGATTTTAAAAATATTGAAACAGATTTTACAATTGAATCAGTTTTACCTGCAAAATTGATGAATGCCCAAAAGTAATAGTATCGTGTTATTCATAATTATTATAAGCCATTTTGAAAGTGTTATGCTTAAAGTGTAATAAAGTTAATCAAATAATTTTCTTCAACATTTTAAATATAACAGCTACAGTATGCTTGTAAAAAGCCAACATGTGCATTCAATACAACTACATTTGAAACATCAATTATGGGAAATTGTGGCAATTTTAGAGAGAGAGAGAGAAAAAAAAGACAGGGCATCATTAAATTTTTTTGTTTGATGTACACCAACCCACTTTTTTTCAAAATGGGTAGGTACATATGGGTAGGAAGTTTATTTTTTTAATTTTCTAACACTTGATAACCATCATAAGAACCATATAGTTATAAGTTTATTGCTGTTTTCATTAAACATAGGACTGTTATACAGATTTAATATTTATTACTTTAAAAACTTTCAATCTAAATGCACCTTAGAGAAATGGAAAACATTAACTTTAAAAATAGTACAAAAAATTTCTATTTCCCTCAAAAAAAAAAAAAAAAGAAAAAAAAGAAAAAGGAAATTTAACATTTAACATACTAAAAATGATCAGGCCTGGGCCATTTTGATGGGTCAGTCAGAGTAAATCAAACAAATAACTTGTTATTGTTGGCCTTAGCTATAGAGATACCATCTGCTTTTAATCTTCTCTTTAGATTTTAACTTCAGCATAACTACCTACTTGAGGTAAACATGGTTTTGAAGTAGTGAGACATGGAGGCTAGGATTATACGATGACAATTGAAGATTTCCCCATCCACCTCAATCTGAACGTCGGTAAACAACGAATTCTTTAGTGAATCCCTCAGTCCATGTGACAGTTCCTCAAAGTATTGGAGCTTGTTATAGTTGCCTATCACTGCAGACAGCTCCTCTGATGTAGGCATTTTGTCTTAGTGATGAATCAACACTGAAATTATATGTACTTAATTACAGTTTCGTATATAAAATAGTGATTTCAACTCTCCTATACTAAAGAATGGCAGCATTTGTTGCCATATTTATTTTTCTAGTTCATTTCAAGAGAAGGCTCTGCCTCAGCCTAGCCCAGTTTAGAGCTCGAGATTAGAGTCAATTCGGAAGTAAGGGTACCTGTCAAAGGATCAAAATACACTTAAAGTCAACGTTCACAAACTTGTGCTATTAAACCGCGCCAATATTTTATTTTTTTTTAAAAAATCACCTGTGTGTTATATTCTTTTTGTTACAATTACTGAATAGCAAGTTTCGAAAATCTCAATGATACCCGGTGTCACGTAGACACGAACCGTGAGTCAGCATGGTCAATTTAACAGGAAATTAAGATCCTTAAGAACAAAAAAGCATTGTAGAAATACCTCTCAAGTTATCAAGATCCTATGAAGAAGCAGGTTGCTAAGTAAAGGCACATTTATGTATGTACGACATGTAGTAAGCGTACTTAAAATCGGGTTTAATCTTTCGGTGACAAGTCGTTCCAGCAACAGGATGTTTCGTTACACATGTAGGCGAACAGGATATTCCTAATAGTAGCTGGTGTATGGCCCATTGGGGGCTAAATGTTATATGGTCCGTTCTCTCAATTTAACATTTTGATCACTAAGTAAAATTATTGGTTGCGTTTTGTTTATTTGTGTGTGTATGTCTTTGTGTGTTTTTGCACACTTTCAACAGTTCAAACTGAATCCAAAGTTATCTTTAAAGAGTTCGCATAGTTCTTGTAGAATTTCTCATCCAGAAAATTAGGGTTCAAATGAAAAGCAGAGTGATCTGAGGTAAAAAAAAAATTGTAATGAATTATATCATAAAATTCACAGGTATATATTTTTATTTAAAGAAAAATAAGTAACGTCAGGTGCCTGTGGATTCATCTAATATGTGATGTGAAATGCAATGTGCATAGCATATTATAGAATCATTTAGTTATTTTCCTTATTTTAAATACAATTATTAATTTTCAATAAAATATGATGAACTTTCTTAGGAACTGGGGGGGGGGGGGGACGAGTGGGGGTGTGCCCCCCCCCCCCCCAATAATTTTGCCTATACATAGAATACTGTAGAAAAAACATAGCTACTACATGCATGTGCCCCTCAATAATAACGTTTGATGACTTTTTTTTTGCTTGTCAAGAAATTTTTGGTAGTTGATAGTGCCCCCGAACTAAAAATGGTTGTGCCCCCCCCCCCCTCCCCAATTGAAATGGCTTTCCACAGGCCTGGAAATATTACATAAATTTTCATTTTTTAATGTTTGCAAAACGGGAACACACCGGTCCAAGGTCATTTTTTTTCGTTACTTTAAATGGAAATTTTAACATCTGAAAATCCAGGGGGGCAGGGGGTCTGGACCCCCCCCCCTCCTTTCCCCAGTCAGCACATGAAGGTATTCAGTCCTGTGTATTTCACAGACGATGTAAGTTTACATTATCACTTTGTATTAACATCATTATTCTGTTGAGCTTGACTGATAACGATCTTTATCAAATCATAATTGAATTGTGTTTTAATCATTGTTATACATTTCGTTCTCGTATGAAACAAAGATCGTCTGTGATTTGTATGCATATATACTGACTTTTTACAATATTTCTTTGATTGCAATTTATCATGCAGTTTGTGCAATGTTATATTAATTTTGAATGATAGCCACTTTTTCAAATACAAGAATTATTATGCCTCTTTTTCAATGTTAAATTATGAGACTATCTAGCACACATACATACATACATCATCCATTTTACAGCGAATATGCTATCATGTTGTAAATTTTGAATTTAAACTAGGTGCATGAAGATAATTAAATGCAAAATTTACAACATAATAATACATTGATGTTAAATGATACATAATTTCAAGACAGTTAATTTTGGTCAGTTTTAATTTTCCACTTTCTTATTTGACCAACCATGGGGATTTTCCTTTGCGTTTTCGCTCATGTTCTCGATCAGTCAATAATGATTTAATGGAAATGAATTTACTTTTCTTCAATTCAATTTCAATTGAATTTCATTTCATTTATTTATTTCATTGAATTTTATGAATTTTAAAGGTGCTTAGACACAGATTTGAAGTTAATATTTACTCAAATTTTTTGTATAATTTCATGACTTATATGTTGCTATAGCATTTCATACGAAAATTTGATAAAAATCTTATTTTATCTGGAAGTTATTGATACTTCGAATTTCTGGACGCGTTTGATAGACACATCCTTGCAATTTCACAAATTTTAACTCTATCCTTATTACTTCAGAAAAGTAGCAATTTTGTTGTTTATTAATGAAAAATATTAAAACTATAATGCAGAAATTTCAGAGTAGAAATGTAGAAAGCAAAATCCTCTTACCAGTATTGTCAGTCCGTGCTCAGTAGTGTGTGCAGAGTTTAACAATTGAACACACTCGATGAAACGTAAACATTAACAACAACAGAGCTCGTGCTCTGTTTACAAAAACAGTTTACGTTTCACGGGTGTATTCAATTTGTTATACTCTGTACACAACTACACAACATTGAGCACGGGCTGGCAATATTTAATTGAGTTGGTTTTGCTTTCGCACATTTTTACTCTGAATTTTCTGGATTATAGATGTAATATTATTCATAAATACACAACAAAATTGTTACTTTTAAGGATAATGTTAAAAATTGTGAAAGTGCAAGGATGTGTTAATCAAACGCCTCCCGAAATTCGTAGTTTCAATAATTTCCAGATTAAATAAGTTTTTATTTCTATTTTCGTGTGAAATGCTATAGCAACATATAAGTTGTGATATTATACAGAAAATTTGAGAAAATATAAACTTCAAATCTGTGTCTATGCACCTTTAAAGAGTATACGTAAATGTTGAGAATAATTAAATCGCTTATTGCTGGTGCATGAATAAAAATTTCGTACAAAATTGGCTATGAAAGATTCTCAAAGCGGGGCTTGTACTACCAACAATTGACACAAAAAAAGGAACATGACTTTAAAGCTGACTTAATATCCCATTAAGTGGGACTCCAAAATTTGCTCGTAAAATTCTGAGATATACAAGAATGTGTACAGGGGAGGTCAACATTACCGCTACATTGCGAAAAATTTCAACTCATTACCGCTATATTTCGACGAAATTTGGGGTGATCATTACCGCTACATTTTATCAACAAGCATTCTGAGAGTATTGCATTAGCAACACTAGTCCCCTACCGGCAAGTGTTATCTGGTTCCCGTTAAAAATTGAAAATGCCATAATTCCGTCAAAAATCAATGAAGTGGAACGAAATGCAAACTTGATCTATAACTCATCAAGGTAAAGTCACATACCAAAAATCAGCTCAATATCTTCTTGTGCACAAGCGTTTAGAAAAAAGTGCGGAAAACCCTGAAAAATTGAAAAGGTCGTATTTCCGTCAAAAATCATTGAAGCGGAATGAAATGCAAACTTGATCTGTAACTCATCGAGATACACTCACATACCAAAAATTTAATTAGCTCATTATCTGCAAGCGTTAAGAAAAAAATTGCAGAAAACCAAGTGGGACAGACTGACAGACAGCTGGACAGACGGACGGACAGACTCAGAGGAAACCTATAATCCCCTCCGGTTTGACCGGTAGGGGACTAATAAGACTATATATCTTCGCATCAGCCAGCTATGCCACTGAATATGTTCTATTCATTACGATTCATTATAAGAGATTTCCAGACAACAGTACGTCAGGCAAATGGCCTTAAATCTCTACCAGGGATAGGTCCCTGTCTCTATCAATTATGTAAAGACTGTGTGTTTTAACCATGAACAATGCTCGGTTTTAAAACGTTCTAAAAATGTTTGATTAAATAAAATAGATTTTAAATAAAAAAATGAGAAAAAAAACCCATCCTGCTCAGTCTTACTTTCAACAGTTCAATGTCAGCCGCTGGCTAAGTAATGAGTATGTAGCGGTAATGACAGTTTTGAAGACCGTCACAAAACTCTCTCAGTTGTGCTGTTCTTTGTGGATTTATGCTAAGTTAAGATAAAAAGGGATTTTTTTCAGGCCTGTAGGCAATTTCATTTGGGGGGCTAACCGAAATTCTTGACCCCCTCAAAAAAAAAGAAAAAAAAAAAAAAAAAGAAGAAAAGAAACAAACAAACATGTACAAGAACCAAACCAAAAAAAAGTCTTCAGGAGGGGCACAACCGCAAAAAGCTTTGTTTTTTAATGCAGACTCAGTACTCGATACAGTAGAGTATATATATCCTGCCTGGCAAAATTATTGGTGGCACCCCACCCTCCTTTTCCCATACCCAAGAACCTGTTCGTTTTTTTAAATTTGTTTCTCAAAGAATTTTTGCTTGATAGTGCCCCCCTACTGAAAATATTTGGTTGACTTGTGCCCCCCCAAACTGAAATTGTTCTCTACGGGCCTGCTGTTGCTCATTCTTATCGGGTTCGGTATACATTATAGTTTCAACTACGATCATGTTTTTTCGAAATTGTATACAACATTGCCAGATGCTATCTTCTAAATGTTTACAGAAAAGGCTTTTATTTTTCAAGAAATTGTAAGAAAAATTGTTGATGGAATTATGAGTCGACCCTCTCTACGAAGAAGCACCCGGACTCAATCAAAAGCTAAAGAGCCAAAAGATAATGATATCAAGATTATAGACCCAACTCCCTGCAGAGTAAACAATACACGTCAAGTACCTGAGGGCAGAACAGAGGCGATAAGTGTTGCAAAACAGAGAGGAACCGTTACTAACAAAGAAGACATTACAAATGATGTGGTATGTGTTGATGATGAACCAGAGCAGAGCGATGACAGTTTCCAGAGTACTCTGGTCTCTGACAGAGACATTTATTTGTGTTCGCAAGAGACTTCTGCAGAAGTATTGTGGGACTGTTCATCTCCTGACATGCGAAAATATCATCGATCTAAAAAGAAAAGGGGTCAGAAGAGTAATGTTGGGGACATTGTTCAGACACTTTCTACATCAAAATGTGACAATGATTTAGAAGATGACACCAAGCCTGGGCTTCTGGGATTGTGGATGGATTCAGATATGCCTGATAACTCAAAGCCAGTGATAAATCTTTCCACATTCTCACCTACAAGTAGTTTTCCACCTCCTCGTACCCACAAAGAGAAACGAAAACCAACTGTTTCTTTGTCATCAGTATTAAAAGAGAAACTTTCTATGAGAATGAAAGAGGAGAAATCTCTACTATCAGCAAAGTACACAAGGTCTTCTGAGAAGAGGAAGAGAGATTCTGAGTCAATGAACATAAGTGATGCAGGGGAAAGTCCATCTAAAGTTAGCAGGACTGCACCGTCAGGTCCATCAAATAAAGATTGTGATCAGACGGATGTATGGGAAAACTCAAGTGAAACTTCCTGGAGTGAAGATGACTTTTATGGTGATGAATCCTTCATTATAAAAGCAACACAAGTTCCAAATGAACTGAGTAAAGAAACAAAAGTAACAAAAAATACTGATTTAAATACTAAGTTGCGTACTAAAACACCAGCAAAATATTCAAATCAGAAATGTGCAGCAAGTCATTCCACAGAAAGTGCTTTCGTTACAAAGACTGTCAAGCAAAATATAAAACCTTGTCAGAGACAGCAGTCTGCAAAAAAAGAGACAAAAACTTCAATCCGTGAACTGAAAAGAGATAAATTTCCTGATTCAGAAAGAAAGAAATCAAGTAAAAGAAATAGTCTGGGATTTAATTCAAGTTTATCTGATGACATCCTTTGTCAGGTAGCAGAGGTTGACTGCATTTTAGACAGTCAAGTTCAGAGTGAAAGAGAGGATGAAAACAAGGACCTAAAGATTCCAAAAAGTAATTTAATATCCAAGACTGGTGAGAAAAGTAACACTGCCTCAAATACTCCTGATGAAAATGATGTAAAGGGTGTTAAAGTGAGATCAGTATCAAGTACCAGTGGAGGGTATTCATTTGTACAAAAAGGGAAAACACTTTCAAATCACACAGCATTCAATAACAAAACACAGATGTCTGTAAGCAAAATGGAATTGCAGAGAAACCCACAGGATGCTGTAGCTGTAAAATTGAACTCAAGTGAGGCAACCATTGGGAAAATTCCAGATGAAAATGCTGAATTGTTCAACTCCGATGAAGAGGACTTGCTTAGTGAACCCCAGGTGCTGGCTTTATTAGATGCTGTTGAATCACAGGCTCCCAAAGCAAACTGTTCACTATCAAACAGCCAACCAAACATGATTCAAGAGAGTTCTACCCAGAGTATTTCCCCTTGTAAGAGAAAGAATGGTTCAGATATGTTCCATGTAGTTACTCCAGAAAAGTCCACTCCAGAGGAAATACAGTACAAGAGAAATGCAGCAATTGCCAGAAGACTTTCCAATAGTCAACCAAACTCAAGCTCATGGACTGTTTCTTCACCAGAAAAAAGATTTTCACAAGAGTTAAGTCCTCATAAGTGCACCCCGGAAGAGATACAGCAGAAGAAGAATGCAGCAATTGCCAAAAGACTTTCAAGTAGTCAGCAGAGTGAGTCAAAAAATCTGCAGACCAAAGATGGAGTCACAAATTTATGTCTTTCACCCAACAAGGACAGAATGGCAGAAGTTCCGTCATTAACTAGTACTCCACGCAAGTGTAGTCCTGAAGAGATTCAAAAGAAAAAGAATGAAGCACTTGCTAAAAGACAGAAAAAGTGTTCTGGAAATAAATCAAATAATGTCAGTGTACCAGTGCTTTCAAACTTTCAGGATATATGCAAGAAGGATCCTGTTGGACAACCAACTTCTCTGTCAGAGACTCCTGTTTGTAGTGGTTTCAAAAAAGAGGCACCTGATAGAAATGTTCCTACTGACTCTCAGTTGAGTAGTTCAGTACAGAAGGACATTGAAAAAAAGAGGCTTGAAGCCCTAAAGAGACGAGAATTAAAACTGAAAACTTCACAGATATGTAAATCTTCTACATAGATACAGAGAAAAGTAAATCAGTCTTAGACAAGATTTTATTTCCTGTGATTATGTATAAAGCATATATAAAATGATTTAAATCATCAGTATGTCTCATTTCTTGATGTCATGGTCTTACCAGCATTTCAATTTCTCCTTTCACACTGGCATGTCAGTGATGTCACAGTCAGCCTTACAATTAGCATCATACAAACTGATTGTTACGTCAGATATGTCAACTGATTGACTTATAAAAATTTCACTGTTTGGACAGAACAATGAGGTTTGCTGCGTACTAGTATTTTGGACCAAAATTTGTTTTAGCTTATGAAAAGTTAATTGAGTAAAATTCAGTGAGTTTAACTGGTTCATTGTCTACAATAAAAAGGTCAGCCTCATGTTGTGTCGGTAACACCCAAAAGTACAAACAATATGTAAAAATATGATATATTCATGCAGTCTCAGTTTCATACAAAGTACAACATGAAGTACAAGATATGGATTACATTTAGAAGCATTATATTTAGATTTTCCATACTTGAACTGCTTTTCCCACATGTTTACATTTTAGAAACAGAGAATGATCTAATCAAGAGCCTAGTGATTCAAGAAAAAAAGTTTCATTTTGTGAACTTGCATGTTGAAGCTACATGTAAATGTTTTATATAGATAAACTTGATAAAAATGTAGTTTATGCTTCAGTTATATATATATATATATATATATATATATATATATATATATATATATATATATATATATATATATATAACCTGCAGGCACATGTTTGATTATTACAAATTGAAGCAAAAATATAATTTATGATTATATGTTTTCTTTTACCCATCGAAACAATTGACACAGTCTCACACTTGTATACATTTTTTTTTTTTAAATTTGAATTCCCACCCATGTGGAATTTAAAAATGAATCCCTACACCACTAAGTTAAAAAAAAAAGCTATTTAAAATTCAAGAAAGAAATTGAAAGATTTAAAGCAAACTTGGGTTTCAATATAGAACTTTACAATTATAGTTACTCAAGTGGTCAGGGAAGTTAACGGAAATTAACTATTTTCTAGTATGGATACGAATTAACTTGATACCTACAGTACTATTTGGATGGAACTACTTTTACACTACCCTTGACACACGTCAACTTCCGGTCAACATGGCAGGTCAACAACGAGACGCTTCTTTGATATGTTTGTTTGATGTAGATGGAACGTTGACCGCTCCACGCCAGGTATGTAATACTTTGCAAGTCTATGCCACGACAAAAACTTCCTCAATAAGGTATGATCTATTTTCGATGCGTCTAGCTACTTTTCGGTTACTTTTAAAACATAGGGCAGAGGAAATTCAAGTTATCTTAATTTCATTATATCATAAGACAGCAAGTTATTGAGAATAAAACCTTAGGCACCTGAAATTTCAGGATTTCTGTGTTAGGACCAACAGTATTAGCTATAATATGTATTTTTATCTTCCTTGCTGTTGGATATTGAAATCTGAAAGCAGTTGTACAAATTATTGCATCATTCATACCATCACAGGGGCTTGCTCCCGGCGTGTAATAATTATTTATTAAAAAATCATATACGGTAATACTAAAACAACACAAGGAAGGATGCCATTTTGAACCCCTTCCTCGCTTCAACCTCTGTTTTCGTTATATTTCCCATATTTTACTGACTCACCGCCTCAGGCCTGTCAAGTAATGATTCTTCTAGGACATAATGCTTGAATTTTCCCTTTGAAGCCTCTACAATACACATTTCAGACTAATAATAATTCAAACTGGCTCTTAAAGACAGTTGATAGGGACAGAAAACGAACACACATTTGAAAATCTTGGGTTTTTTCTGCTGCTAATTATAAATTTGAAAAAAAAAACCGCATTCTAATTCCGTATTTGAATGTAAAACGCTGAGGTTACTTTCGTTTTCTGTCCTCATCAATTGTCCTAAAGAGCGCGTTTGGATTATTATTAGTCCGAAATGTGTATTGTAGAGGCATCAAGGGAAAAATTCAAGCATTATGTCCTAGAAGAATCATTACTTGACAGGCCTGAGGCGGTGAGTCAGTAAAATATGGGAAAATATAACAAAAACAGAGGTTGAAGCGAGGAAGGGGTCCAAAATGGCGTCCTCCCTTGTGTTGTTTTAGTATTACCGTATATGATTTTTTAATAAATAATTATTACACGCTGGGAGCATGCCCCTGTGATATCATAACAGGTCTGGTACAATCACTAGATTTAGCTACATAGCTTGAATTGCCTACATAGCTTTATTTACCTACCTGAAGTAGCTTTATATAGCTACTAAATCAAACTTATTTCTTTAATTAGCATTTTCCCCAGAAAGTGCAGAAAATTGTACTTTGATGCAGTGATTTTTAACTTTGAACTCATCTAAAAACAATTCATGAAAAAAAATCACTCTTGGAGATGTGTCTTTTTTCTGTTGGGGCTATATACAACAGTTAATTTGTGACCTAACAGTTACTTCTTGATTGAAATAACAAAGAAAACCAGTTTTGGTTAACAAAGAACACAATGTGAAGTAATCATACTTATCCATGCCTCATCACACACAAGGTGGGTGTACAGTTACTTAGACATTGGAAATACATCTTTTCCTTAAAAGTTCAAACGCAGCAATGTAAAACTATCTCTGCTTTAAATTGCATTTTAAATAATACCTAGAATAATATTTAATAGACATTTACTTGCGATTTTTTGTCTTTTTAAATTAAAAATCAAAATTGTGAAAATTTACCTTGAAATAGCTAAATAAAACGACCTGAGGTAGGCAAATAAAGCTACGGTAGGTAATTTTAGCTACGTATAGCTAAATGTACTGATTGTACTGGACCTGTATAACCAGTAGAAATAAGTTAGTAACTTAATTTTATCGTGGTTTGGGTTATATAGACATAAAAATTGGCCTGAGAAGCTCATTGTTTAGAGCACCTGACTAATAATGCAGGAGTCCCAGGTTCGATTCCCTAGCTGTCTATCCATTAAATAATGTTGCATCTTTAAGTGCTTTTGATCAACCCTTGATTAAGATATATGGAGCTTAAATTAGCTATTTAGCTTTATTAAGCTATTTAAAATAGCTTGATAAAACATTTCAATACAGTTTTTCACAAATATATTTTGTGTAAGAAATAGACAAAAAAGTTGTATGTGACTGTATATTCATATAACTGCATGGGTTAAAATCCCACTTGAGCTTAGCTTAAATAACCCTGCCTGTTTCACACTGAAAATAAAACTGGTTTTACCTAAACTGCTGTTTATCTCACGATTTTTGTTAGCATTTGGTAAAACAATGACCAGAAATTTTCAGTAGATCCAGGGTTTAAGGACATCTTAAATTTTTGTAGAAAAACTTATTCCATCATTGAAAATGTCTTATCAGGAGCATCCTCCTAACTGAACAGGTATTATGCCTTTTACCAGAGAACACAGTCAATTAACTGTTTTGTTATACCTTTTACTTTTTTTTGACATATATCTTTGCTGGCTTCTGTAATGTAACTTTTGTTTACCCATACTGTGGATTAAACTTAGGCAATTCCATAACTGTCAAAAACCAACAAGTGCAAAATAGATATATAGCTGAGCCCGGCGTGATGTTAGAGGTCCATTATCTCATCGACAGGTCCAATATCTCACTCTAACATCAATTTTTTTTTAGACCGTTCAGGAACTGTTCAGGAAATTATTGGAAATGCTAGACTTCAAAATGTAAGATTTGTATAGGAAACATTTTTTGAAGGTACATTTTATTATACACGTACCAATAAAAACTGGTTCCTAAATAAATCTATACAAAAAAAACATTTCCAATGTTTGTTTGAAAAAATATATAAAATAAAAAAATTAAAATTGATGTTTGACCAAAGATTGAGATATTGGACCTGTCGATGAGATATTGGACTGCTTACATCACAATGTGGGCAGAATTAGCTAATATAAAATCTTATTTGCATTTGTTGGTGTTCAACAGTGACAGAATTGACATAGTTTTATCGCAGTGTGGGCAAAAGAAATTTACATCACGGAAGCCAGCACAAGATACATGTATGTCAAAAAAAATAAAAGGTATAACAAAACATTTATTGATTGTGTTCTCAGGCAAAATGCGTTTTGTTGACCCCTCGAACAGAACTGTTTGCATTCAGCCTATTACGGCCTCAGGCAAACAGTTTGGTTCTTGGGTCTGACAAAATGCATATTGCCCTCGAACCCAGTCAATAAATGTACAGTGTTGCATTGCTTATACGAGAAGTTGAACATTGAAATCTAAAAGGTCTTATATCAGTTTGCAGACTTACAGGTAACATAAGTGTAATGTAAATATTTTTAATGTTTTATTATGAAGAAGTTTGTTTATTTATTATTTTAAAATGTAATAGCATGTATCATTTATAGATTCACTGGATTTAACTGGAACATTTATCTCTAAATCTAAAAGTTGTCACCTTTTTACAATATTATTGTTCTTGGGTAAACACAAATTCCACAAATATTGAACCTCCACAAAATAGAATGCTTCCATGGTATCTGGTTTATATTGTATTGTCCATGCATTCTGAATCAATGATCTTAATACCTGTTTTGAATCATTTACTCTTTTCAATCTCCTACACTGGAAAAATCTTACACTTAAGTCTTATCAGCACTGGTGAAAGGTATCAATCTAATTAAGCTCCAAGTTTCTTACTAAATACTTTAAAATTTCTGATATATTTATTATTTATTTTATTTCAGGCAGCTACACAAGAAATGTTAGAATTCTTGAAAAGACTGAAACAAAAATGTTATGTAGGCCTGGTGGGAGGTTCTGATTTATCCAAGATAGCTGAACAAATAGGAAGTAACGGTAAGCAGATTCATGTATGATTAAATTAATTTGTTAATCATCTGCAAGATGAAAGTTATAACATACTGAATTGTAGTAAACAGGTCTAGGTGGCCTCTGTTTTTGGAGGATAGATTTTATCCTCTGAAAATAGAGGATAGCGGTCTTGCCACCTACCGGAATTTTCAAAACTAAGGGCAGTTAACTCTTAACCAAACAAATAACAGCAACTCTTACATTTATGAACCGTACGCTGATTTCGAAATCAAAACAAATAAAAGGTACAATTTCATATGATGATGGATAATTCCAGATATAACATCAATATAACTATATTTTTGTAATTGCGGTCAATCAGTTATTCGGTATACAGCTTGGAATACAAATATTGCACTTACCTGCCTGTGACTGAGGTTAATTATGACCACGCTGATTTTCCAGTACCGTAATTATATGATAAGCAGTTTAGAAATTTTGATAAACAATTTTTTTTGAAAAAAATTAAGTATAATTTTTTATTATTTCTTTCATTTAATAATTCTTTAGCACATCACTTTGTAAATATTTTATTTGTTTATGTATACATATGGCTGTATGAATATATGTTAATTTCTTAGTAAACATGTCAAATTATTTATTTTATTTACTTATGCTATTCAAATTATTTATTTATTTTTATAATTATTCATTCAATCCATTTATACTTTTATTTGCTTAAATTATAAGGCAGAGTATATTTTGCGTTTTAAATACGCTTAAAATGTGTTTCATTTTGTGTTTCCTTTTTTTGAATTAAAAGAAAATATAAAAGAAATATTAAAGTCCTTTTTTATTTGTCTAAATAGTGAAAAATCATAAAAAATAAAACAAGATAACAAGAAATATTCAGTAATAATGATGCGCAAAATGTGCTAACTTTGAAGATAAATTGCAAAATATCTAGACATAGAATCTCAGATCGCCACATACAATCGATAGTTCAATGTTTGAACTTTTATTTGGTTGTACTCTGGTGCTTGCACTTTTTGATTAAAGGTAGGCACGAGGTGTTTGAAAATTACCTGTGTTATCCTCTGAAATCGGAGGATAAACTATCCCACAATGCAACGCGGTTTCCATATATGGTAAAAATTTTGGCTGCCATATTGAATTTAGCTATCCTCCAAAAACGGAGGCCGCCCAGACCTGGTAAAGGAAGGATAAATATTTACTTGTATAGCATAAATCATCTATATTTACAATCTATGTTTCCACTGTAAATGGATTGTAATTGTTAAATTATTGAAATTACGGATTTCAATTTCATTTCAATGGAAATATATATATTATATAATATAATATATGCTATTGTTCATATATGTGAATTCTAAATAATTGTTCTGAAAGGGTTATCAGTTTTGGATTGTCTCTGTTTTTCAGTTGCAAAGGAATATGATTTTTTGTTTGCTGAGAATGGATTAGTTGCCTTTCAAGATGGCAAACAAGTAGGACAGGAGGTGAGAATATAGACTTGATCTTTACATGTGCACAATTTTATCATAATGTACCTTAAGGTAAACATCTGGAAAGAGGTAACATTGAATTTTAATTATATAGTAGTGCTGAGTAATTCAAGAATGGTGAAAAACATCATTTTTGTTGTTAATTAAATTAATTCTCGTAATTACTTACCAAGATTGTCAATGGAAATAAAAAAAAAAATTTTAATGAATGTGATTTTGTCTTGTTTATGTGTCAATGTCAATCATTTGACTATCTATATATTTCTCTAACATTGCTTTTATTAATGGATTAAAAAAAATTACAGAGTAGCATTTTGGTTTCTACTCAGTTATATTAAGGATTTCGAAGAATTATGATTTTTTTGTTAATCTTTGATCGTTAATTTTATCTCCAGAATCTTCTTCACAACAAAGGAGAGGAGTGTCTACAAAAAGTGATCAATTTTGCTCTGAAATACATGTCTGAATTAGAGTTACCTGCCAAAAGGTAAACACAAACAACACATTCCGAGTTACATGTATTATAAATACAGTATTATTCACTTGAATTTGTTGGTTGGTTGATTTTGTTTTTGAAATTGTGTGTGGGTGGGATGTGGGGTGGATGGGTTTCAGATTTTAAAAGATTACACATATACATTATATTACATGTATATGGCTTAATTTTGTTCAAAATGAATCATTTAAGGCATGAGTGATCTCCCTTAAAATCATGCTTTTACTGGAAGTTGAAAATTCTTTTTTTTTTTTTTTTTTTTTTTTAAGAACAATGAATTAAAGGAAGTAGTTATATAAAATGCCTACTTACTGTATTCTTTATTCCATCCAGAGGAACCTTTGTTGAGTTTAGAAGCAGTATGTTAAATCTTTGTCCAGTCGGTAGAAGCTGTTCACAGAAAGAGAGAGATGAATTTTCTGAATTTGACAAGGTATGTGTTAGTTTTTGTAGTTGTCATGACAACCCTGCATGGTGAATGTATCATGGACTCTTATTTATTTACGATATTTTTAAGGTTGTCAAATAGTTCTTTATTGAAAAATGTTTAGAAAAAGTAAAACATTTTGTTTGAACAAGTAGATTTTATAATCACTTGTCCGAATTGACAAGAAGAAAAACATGTTAATGTACAAGAAGAAAAACATGTGAATGTAGAGCCAGATCAATTCCTGGAACTGTTGTATGCAGTGTCCGAGTTTGGAAATACAGAGTGGTTTTAATGATGAACATGGGGTTGGTGGGGGGGGGGGGGGGGAGGGTCTTCTTATCATTTGTAGTTGGTATTTGGCACAGTCTTCACTGTAAAGAAACTGAATTTGCAAGCCCCTGATGTTCATTTTTACTCTGATAAATTTTATCTCATGTGTGTTCTGTGCATTAATATTTTCTCATTCATCAATACTTTCTTTATCAAAGAACATGTAGTGAACTACTAGTACAGTAAAATACGCTTATAGTTAACATGCTTATCATGAATTGACACTTACAGCAAAGTGATTTTCATTTCCCATGACTTTAAAATAAATTGTAAACTTAATGGATATAACAAATTACGCTTATAACGAAGCAAAATCGTCCATCCCTGGCATTTTGTTATAAACATATTTTACTGTATAAATATTTTCTTCACAGAAAAATAACATAAGGAAGAAGTTTGTGGAGGCATTGTACCAGAACTTTCCTGATGCTGGACTGAAGTTTGCGATTGGTGGTCAGATCAGTATTGATGTGTTTCCAGTCGGCTGGGACAAAACATTCTGCTTACAGTTTTTGGAGAAGGCTGGCTTCAAGACAATCCATTTCTTTGGAGACAAAACAAATCCAGTCAGTGTAACACTAATATTGACATATTTAGCAAAAGTTTATACAATTTTCTTCTGTCCATTTTTTTTTATTGCAAATTTGCATGTACTAAATACTGTTACATTTTTAGCTCACCTGAGCCGAAGGCTCAAGTGAGCTTTTCTGATCAAAATTTGTCCGTTGTCTGTTGTTGTTGTTGTCGTAAACTTTTCACATTTTCATCTTCTTCTCCAGAACTACTGGGCCAATTTCAATCAAACTTGGCACAAAGTATCCTTGGGTGAAGGGGTTTCAAGTTTGTTCAAATGAAGGGCCATGCCCTCCTCCAAGGGGAGATAATTACGAAATAGCAAAAAATTAATGGCATTATTGAAAAATCTTCTTCTCAAGAACCAGTGGGCCAGGAAAGATGAAACTCATGTGGAATTATTGTCAGGTAGTGTAGATTCAAGTTTGTTCAAATCATGACCACCGGGGATAGGGTGGGGCCACAATGGACAATCAAAGTTTTACATAGGAATATATAGGAAAAATCTTCTTCTCAAGAACAGCAAAGCTATGATTGGTCATATTTATTTGGAAGCATCCTCAGGTGGTGTAGATTGAAGTTTGTACAAATCATGACCCCTGGGGATAGGGTGGGGCCACATTGGACGATCAAAGTTTTACATAGGAACACTGTATACAGGGTTATTTTTGCCCCATCTTATTTTTGCCCTTTCTCACTTGCAAACGATTTTGACCCATTTTAAATTCGCCCAGTTACAATTCTGTTTGAGAAATTATACTGTGTTTTTTAAATTTGCCCCATTTTAAATTCGCTCACCTGTGAGTAGGGTGAAAGGGGCAAAAATAAAATGGGGACGAAAATTTCCCTGTATACAGTATATAGGAAAAATCTTCAAAAATCTTCTTCTCAAGAACAGCAAAGCTATGATTGGTCATATTTATGTGGAAGCATCCTCAGGTGGTGTAGATTCAAGTTTGTTAAAATCATGACCCCCAGGGGTAGGGTGGGGCCAAAATGGACGATCAATGTTAAACATAGGTGTACATAGGAAAAATCTTCAAAAATCATCTTCTCAAGAACAGCAAAGCTATGATTGGTCATATTTATTTGGAAGCATCCTCAGGTGGTGTAGATTCAAGTTTGTACAAATCATGACCCCCGGGGGTAGGGTGGGGCCACATTGGACGATCAAAGTTTTACATAGGAATGTATAGGAAAAATCTTCAAAAATCTTCTTCTCAAGAACAGCAAAGCTATGATTGGTCATATTTATATGGAAGCATCCTCAGGTGGTGTAGATTCAAGTTTTTTCAAATCATGACCCCCAGGGGTAGGGTGGGGCCAAAATGAACGATCAATGTTTAACATAGGTGTACATAGGACAAATCTTCAAAAATCTTCTTCTCAAGAACAGCAAAGCTATGATTGGTCATATTTATGTGGAAGCATCCTCAGGTGGTGTAGATTCAAGTTTGTTCAAATCATGACCCCCGGGGGTAGGGTGGGGCCACATTGGACGATCAAAGTTTTACATAGGAATGTATAGGAAAAATCTTTAAAAATCTTCTTCTCAAGAACAGCAAAGCTATGATTGGTCATATTTATGTGGAAGCATCCTCAGGTGGTATAGATTCAAGTTTGTTCAAATCATGACCCCGGGGGTAGGGTGGGGCCACAATGAACGATCAAAGTTTTACATAGGAATATATAGGAAAAATCTTTAAAAATCTCAAGAACAGCAAAGCCACGGTTTGTCATATTTATACGGAAGCATCCTCAGATAGTGTAGATTCAAGTTTGTTCAAATCATGACCCCCACTCCCTTTTTAGGGGTAGGTTGGGACCACTTATGCATTTAAGCTTTTCAATACTAAACTGATTTTTCCTTTTTTCCTAGCCACAGTGCTCAGGTGAGCGATGTGGCCCTTGGGCCTCTTGTTTTTATTGGCATTCAATTTATTAATCAAATTACTGCATGATACAAATAACTTTAAGTACATGCATGTTTATAGGCAAAGTCAACAATAAAATCATTAATACAGAGCTTAATGCTATAAAGATTAGAACATGTATTGTAGGGTGGAAATGACCATGAGATTTACAAAGACTCCAGGACAATTGGACATTCTGTGACCAGTCCCCAGGACACGATTAAACAAGTTTCAGAGGTCATCCCAGGTTTATAATGATGGCTGCATTTAGACAATTTTAAAATTTATAATAGAAGATGTCTGAAATCCTTTATCCTCTCTAACCAAGAACTTTTTGGAGGTTGATGAAATAACAAGACTTGTGCAATATTTGTACAGTTTTAATCTACCAGCTGTTTGAACTGGTAATGCAGAACATAGGAGGGTTTTTTATTTAAATGTGGTTTTATGATGTTATCAAATTTTCTGTTCATTCCAACAAGATGTATAGTGTAAATTCTAGCATTTACATCATATCCTGATATTAGTGTATACTGTAAATCACTTTTTATTCATGAGGAGCTTATTTTTGCATAATTACACTTGCAAAATTTTATTCTTGCATATATTTTGTTTAGTATTATATACAATAATGACCAGAATTCATGAAAATTTTGTCTCGCTATATAAATACCAGATTGCTATATCGCGAAGATAAGTTGTCACAAAAATTTTGTGATCTACAGTATTTTAAAAATTAACACACACTTTCATATTCAACTGTTATTACATTACATGTTAGCTTTTCATTTTCACAGGGTTCAATATTGAATCTCGTATGCATCAAATTTCTATGGGTTTATATATTTACATATTTTATATTTTTTTTTCCTAAATGATATGTCAAAAGGACTAGAAATTTTTAAAATAAACATATTTAAATACCTACTTTGCATTCTTATTTACCCGAGAATTAAAAAAAAATGAGGCTGATGGCCCACAGTGCTCACTTAAGTCACATGACCTTCCCTCCCTGTGATAATGAATATGTGATACAACCCCTTCTACTGGAGATTTTTAATTACCCCACACTATTTCTTAGAGTTTTGTGAGCAAGCTAACAAAATGATACCCTCAATGCAATTTTTTTAATTTGTTGCAACCAATGTTTCTAATGGATCAAAAACATTTTTACACCTTTTCTGCAACCTCTGTCATAAATGACCTTTGGTCAAGGTCATGACACACCCTCAGGTTTATAGACATTCTGTGTGCCAAGTATGAGGCCCAATGTTTCTCTGTTAGAGAGCTGTGGATTATACATTTTTTTCTTCCAGTGACCTCAATGTTTTTAAAATGACATTGGGTCAAGTATGAACTTCCAGTATTTCTCTATTACAAGGTATGGCCAGGTCAAGGAAGAGTCATTTATCTACAAGTGACTGAACATTTAGAAATGATTCTAAGCCTAGATCAAAGTTATGCAGTCAACAAGGGTTTAAATGATAATTAATGCATTTTTCAACTTAAACTAAGCAGTTTCAATTTTTCAAAATTTTACAAGGCCAAAAAAGGCCCTAAGTGAGCCTTGTTCTTTGAATCCCTTTCACTCAAAGGTGTTTGGTATTATGTTGAATACTCATTGGTTTCATTATATCAACAATAACTTTTCATTGTGTAACTAATGATCAATTTGATAAGAGAATGCATGTGCATGAATTCTTTTCATCATTATGCAATTATAGTCTACATTGCACAATTGGCACTCAATCATTTCATAATCAGAGTAAAAATTTCGGTCAATGAAGCAATATAGTAAAAGCTCAATCAAAATTTACAAATTGAATATATATATATATATATATATATATATATATATATATATATATATATATATATATATATATATATATATATATATATATTAGAAGGACCAAGTCTTGTATCAAATAAACAAAAAGATGCAAAAGTTATTTCCTCCATTAAGTTAAACATTAAGGAAATGTAGCTACTGTCATCTGCATTAACAGAATATACACACTCAAAAATCTTTTAAGCTACCAAGATAATATAATATGCTCAGTTGCAGCAATGTATGCATCCCAGTGAACCTCCACCCAAAGGGGATAAAGATGCTAATGGGAATAGCCTGCTCTACAAATTTAACCAGGCCACTACTGGTAATATTGATGGAATAAATGTCACAGGGCCAGTCAGTATATAAAGTGCAACTGTTGCATTTTGTAAAAATGTACACAAAGTCTCAATGGAAGAGACCTGCATGCTCAATTGCTTATGTGTAAAATATAGATCAGAAAGCATCATAACTGGTACCTAGATATATCCTCGCAAGTTTGTTTCTATTAGGACCTATCATAACTTTGGAAATTGACCTGCTACAGAAAGTTTAGTCTAGGATGTCAGCACTTGGAATATATCAGAAGCTAACTATTCTGAGGTGAACTAAAGGTTTTCTCATCTTTCTCTGCTAAATAATATAACATTAATTTAATTGATGTACTATTATCATTTTTTCATAACTGATGTTTATACTTTACGATAGACTTTGAATTTCACTCGTAGGTGAAAGAGTATTTCTCAAAATTAATATAATTGAACATTTAACTTTCACAGACGGAATTGAACCATACAAAAGAAATATATCTAAAGTCAAATAAAGATCTCAGATTAAGGAACATAGAATTGGGGGAGGGGGCTTTTTTTTCCAAAGGTAACCTTTTACTGTTGAAAATGTTCATTGAAAAAGGTTGATGCCCCCTCCTTTTTTTTGTTGCAGAATAGTCAATGTATCCCATGGTAATATCATTGATAAAATTTGTATATGGAAAAAGTTGGACCCCCCCAGGAATTTTTTGAGTTAAGGACAACTTACAACCCCACTCCCCATCCTCCTCTTGGGTTTGTCTCAGATTTTTCAGGTAAGTTGTCAAATATTGAATTGGATCCCCCCCCCCCTCCCCAGTTTCATAAGCTGTTGCCATGCTTACATGGAAAAAGGCATATAAAAAATTAACACGAACACAATTAGCTGCTAGTAAATTTATTCTATCACAACAGGTGTACTTGTATCATATTGTCAACTGGCCAAAATAAAAGACATTTATCAAAAGCTCAAGGGTCTTCATAGGAGACCAGTTTTTTCTTTGAGTTTGTAGGTAGGAAACTAGTAACTACAAATGTTGCATGTATCTCTGTAATCCCTCCAGTTACACCTAATTTAGAAGAATCGTTTTAATACCAGATTAATGTTAAAAAAGTTCTCTTTATTAAACCTCTCTTGAAATTTTACAGTATCACAGTAAACAAACCAAAGTACTGAACTGTATGCTACGGTCTGGAATACCATACTAAAAATTTGATTGCAGTCTGAATAAATGCATTTACTAATAATACATGTATCAGCAATCACCATTTTTCAAATAATACTTAAATTTTAATGAAACACTATCTATATAAAAATGTATCTTATAGAGTTTTTCCTGTAGGAGTAGTTTCCCTTTACTTCGATATCCTGGCCATGAGATATGGTAACTAGAGGTTCTACCAAGCAAAACTGAAAATTCCTATGGAGATTCTTTTTGATGGAGAGCATCATCTGGTGTTAGGAACTTGGCATGTTCTGTATCTCCATTTTCCTTCCTTCCATACTGCTTCTCAACAGCAAGTAAGTCATCTTGTGAAAATTTGAGAGCTGGGTTGATTTTTCCATTCACCTCAGTAGGAGTCACTGCGGTCAGTTCCGACATTTTACTGGATGCTAGCGCTATACTCTCTTCCGGAAAATTAACAATGCACATAAATACATCGTACTTAGGGGGGATCATTCCTCGTTCGAACATGTATTTTGCGGGGTAGGAGATGAGGATTATGGATGCAAAGGATAGAAGCATACAGAAGGTTTTATATGGAAACAGCTGTGTCCCACTGGCCTCATCATACCAGGGGTACTTTATGACAGCTGGAATTTTCATGCTGCTTTCTCCTCCCATTAAGCGGAAGAACCAGCCAATAATGAACCCTCCTAAAGATCCGTAGGTGTTGGTGCCTTTCAGATAGACGACACTGACAAGCTGCGGAAACAGAATGACATACACAAGATCAGAACAGAGATACCACAGCATGTAGATAGAATCCACCATGATGGCCATTATTGTTGCTAGGATACCCACTCCAAATATACCCACCCGCATCACATTCACAATCTCTTGCTCTGATGCCTAAAAAATCAAAATGATATAAACATAAATACATAAAATTGTAAGTTTACATGTAATTGCTTATAAAATTTTGTCAATTAGTATTCAGTAAAGCTTTCTTAAAATTCAAATGTGATTTTGGTAAACCAAAACTCATAACATCTTTTAAATTTGTAATTTAACAAGAGGCCCACGGGCCTTATAGGTCACCTGAGTATCGCGTAACAACTTTCCAACAATTGAATTTGGTTTGTATTTTGCACCAGAGGCCATGTAATTCACAATTTTGAAAGAGGCACTATTGCTCATCATAACTATACAGTTAGCATGCTTACTTTGATTACTTAATACCCAGAGGCAGAGCAGAGGAACAAAAACAAGAGAAGTAGGAAGATCAGGATCAACAAAATAATTAGTCTAGTATTCACTATCAACTCAGAAATTGAGTTCTAATCTGTCCCCCACTTAACACTATCACCATGCAGACTATTAACAAACTATTAGTGCTTCTGTACTATTTTTAAACCCATATTAAGATCTCTAGCATTGACCTCTCTTATGGTCTTTGAAGAACTTTTAATAAGATAAGTTATTTTTGTCTCATTTTTATTTATCTATTACTTACAGGTCTACCTGATTATTTAAACTAAGGAAGTACTTTTTTAATTAAACGATAAACATTCTTGCATAATTATCTTATTCTATTAACCTTTCAAATACATTATTTACAGTGATTAATTATCAAAGGTGAATGGAAAAGGGGAATAACTTCTCACAGTAGAATACAAATTAATAGAGCCCTGCCCAGGACCAGAATGCTTAGACGAATGGTCCATATGTTTAAAAATCTGGTAGAAATATGCTTACTCATATCATTTAAACTTTTACTCAGTTTGCTTCCGATATGCCCAGAAGCAGAGAAGAATTTCACAGGTACAATGCATTTTCACTACAGATTCAACAAAGCCTTACCCTAACACCAGAACCCAAGACCAAGGGTCAAGAAATTTACAAATTTGGAAGAGTTACCCTCATCATCATTACTATGGACTTCAAAGAATTAACACTTTTCCACTGTATTATCAAAAGCCCCCCCCCCCCCCTCGTTATGCCAGAACCCCTGACCCTAGGACCACAAGATTTAAAAATTCTGTTCGAAGCTCCCATTTTCATCATAGCTAAGCAATTTATTTATCAGCTCAACACTAAGGAGCCGACAGGATTAATTAATGATTAATTAATAGAATTAATGCTTTTTCACTATATAATCAATAGAGCCCCCCCCCCTCCTCAAGAACCCCGAAAACTGAGGCGATATATTTAAAAATTTTGGAAGAGGCATCCTTGTCTATCATAATCATGCACTTAGTTTGTTTAAATAATCTCCAGTAGCAGAGAAGAAGATTTTCAAAGAATCAATGCATTTTCACTATATAATCAATAGAGCCCCGCCCTAACACCAGAGCCCCTGACCCTGGGGCCATGAAATTCACAATTTTGGAAAAGGCATCCTTATGCATCATAACCATACACTTAGTTTGTTTAAATAGTCTCCAGTAGCAGAGAAGAAGATTTTCAAAGAATCAATGCATTTTCACTATATAATCAATAGAGCCCCGCCCTAACACCAGAACCCCTGATCCAGGGGCCATGAAATTTACAAATTTGGAAGAGGCACTCTTGTTCATCCTAACTATGTACTTAGTTACTGAATTTAATACCCAGTAGCAGAGAAGAAGATTTTCAATGAATTAATGCATTTTCACTATATAATCAATAGAGCCCCGCCCTTACACCAGAACCCCTGCCCCTGGGGCCATGAATTTCACAATTTTAGAAGAGGCACTCTTACTCATCATAACTATATACTTAGTTAGTTTATTTAATACCCAGGAGCAGAGAAGAAGATTTTCAAAGAATTAATGCATTTTCACTAAATAATGAATAGAGCCCCGCCCTAACACCAGAATCCCAGACCCTGGGGCCATGAATTTCACAATTTTGGAAGAGGCACTCTTACTCATCATAACTATATACTTAGTTAGTTTATTTAATACCCAGGAGCAGAGAAGAAGATTTTCAAAGAAATAATGCACTTTCACTATATGATCTATATAGCCCCGCCCTAGCACCAGAACCCCTGACCCTGGGGCCATGAATTTCACAATTTTGGTAGAGGACTCAATGCTCATTACAATGATGCCAACAGTTTGACTGCTTGATGTCCAGGAGTAAAGAAGAAGATTTTTAAAGATTGCATTAATTTTGGTGGTTTTAGCCCCACCCCTCAGGCCCCAGGGGGGCAGGGACCATGAAATTCACAATTTTTGTTCCCCTTCACCCATAGATACTATATGCCAAATTTGGTTGAAATTGGTTGAGCGGTTTCAGAGAAGAAGCTAAAAATGTTCAAAAGTTTACGACCGACGAACGACGACGGACGAAAACGGATAGCAATAGGTCACCTGAGTTTACTCAGGTGACCTAATAAAATACTGTAAAATCACTTATTTTCATGGATTTAAATTTTGATGGTTTGAGGAAAAAATATTGGTTTGTGGGGATTAAATTTCATGGTTGAAGAAATGTCTCATTGTTTTGATTACACATTTTAACTATTTGTGGAGGACATGAATTCGTGGGTCTCTTCATGCCAGGAAAACAACGAATATTAAACCCCCACAAAAATTTGTGATTTCACTGTATATCCTTTAGAAAGGTAACTAAGATATGTACCATTTATCACACACAAGCTCCTCATTTTGCACTGCTAAAAACTACTGGGTCAAACAAAAAAATTCTTTTTTCTTTTTGTCAGCAACAAATTTTTAATATTTCTCTGTTACTTAAAACAAAATAATTTTCTTCCAAATGACCATGACCTTGTCAAAAATATCTTGGATCATTGCTGTGTCAGATCTTGGGTCATATTCACATGCCACAAAATGATGAACAAGAAAGTATAGCAGAAGCTCACCTTAAAGACTCAGGTGACCAAATTTTTTTTTTCATATTTCATATTTTTAAATCATTTGAACTTAAAATGTGAACAATTGAAATCAGCACACATTTTCTACAGAATGTTGCTTTTACCTGTTGTCTAAATAACAATTTGTAAATGTTTCTGGCAAACATGGAGCTAGCAGACAGAATGGAGGAGTCCGCTGATGACATCACAGCTGCGGATACCGCCCCCAAACCAAAGAATGCCACCCAGGTGGGCGTCAAATACTGCATTACCATGGGGAGGATCAGGTTCATGTTTTCTGGGGGGATGGGGAACTCTCGATGATCCTTAATGGTATAGTCAGTACTGTTCCAGTCTATAATGAAATTAAATTTGTAAACAAAAATTAAAAGATTGAAAGTTTATCATTGAATTTATTATCATTTGAATTATCATTGAACTGTACTTCAGAAACGAAAAACTAATTAAAAAGTCAAAACATTTAAACTCTATGCAAGTACAATTATGCTCCATATTTTGCTTAACAAGGATTCAGACCAAAGTGTCATTCATGTCAATATAAAAAAAAAAAATAAGTGCATAGATTTTCATTACTGTGTACAGGGAAATTTTTGACCCCGTTTTATTTTCACTTATGAAGTAGTGTTATACCTGTAGTTGTTGCTATAGCACCAATCAGGACTGAGGGGATAGCCATCACAATACAGCCCACCCCTGCCACATAGGACAGGATTTTAGCATTGAATGCCGACTTGGCAGACAAGACTCTCTGGAAATAGACTTGCCAGGGGATTCCCCCAAAAATCAGCAGCAGCATGCCATCTATGTACACCCCTGTGTATTGAGGGTCAATGGATTTGATCCATAAGGAGGATGCATTAACAGCAATGTCTCCTACATGTTCGTTAGTCATGGCAAATGGAATGGTTATCCACTGAAAAAGACCAAATATTTACAGAACCAATACAAAATTGTACTAGAAAGGGCTATTTTACATTTGAGGTTTCAAAGGCAATGCAAAAAGGAACTTATAAATGCAGTAAAACTCAGTTACAGTGAAATCCTTGGGACCTGTGAATTTACTTTGCTATATCCATAATTCATTATATCCAAATAACAAATTCATTTAAGTAAACACATGTATATAGTAAACTTGCAATATAGATATTTTCCTTTAAGTACTGTATATTTCTTATTTTATGTGAGTACGTATTATTGCGAAATGGCCCTTAGACGTCAAATTGCGAGAACAATAATTCGTGAGTAGATGTTTGCTCTAGAGATTTTGCATGCATTTCAGCACCATAAAAATAAAAGCTGGCAATTTTATTTTGCGAGTGGTGCTTCTCGTGAAATTATGTGATAATTAATTTCCCACATATATTTTGGAATCTACAGTATGACTTAAATATATTCTGGGAATCATTATATATAAAACTTATCTTGGAATACTAAAGATTTTGGATGAGTTGAATTTCAAATATAAATATTTTACAAAAAAATAATGCCAGATCAAAAATTAAATTTTACAACCTTTGAAAATTTGTTATAAAAGATGTAAATTTCATTATTCTTAATCTCTACAGGACACAGTCAGTTCACTTTATCAGTAATCTTGCTGTATCAGTGTACATATAACTGTTCAATTTTACAAGGAAATTCTACTGGTAAGAACTTTGCAGGGGATCCAAAAAACTTTGCTATAGCTGTGAATAAGCTATATCTGTGTCTACACTAAATGTATTTACCTGTGATTTATATTAGTGTGAAGATATCTTTTGCCCATTTAAATTTCATTGTATTTGACTTCCTCTTTCTCCTCCCTTTACACCCTAGATAATATGCCTTACCAGACCAAAGAATATACAGAAGAGCTGTACAACGTCTGTGTAGGCAACAGAATACAGTCCCCCAAACAAGGTGTAGAATACGGCAATACAGGCAGACACAATAATGGACGTCTTTACATCACTGTCAATAATAACAGAGATCGTAGCACCTGAAACAATCAAATTACCATATACGTGGAATTTTAAGAGAGATGCAAATTTAGCGAGAAGTAATTTTAGCAATTTTATGGTGCATAGAAAGATAACAGTAACCTCTAATGCGGAATAAATTGTTAGCAATATTAAATTTTAGCGATCTCAACATCCTCGCAAAAAATGCCAAAATTGAATCCTCGCTAAAATTTCCGCCTTATGTACAGTAACGCTGGCATGGAACATTAACATCCAGACTTATTGCTTGAAGGTGTATATTGCATTTCATTCATCAAAAAATTTAAATTACTTTGTACAGAAAGGTAATAGCAGATGCTGAAATAAAACTGAAATTGTAAAATATTTTTGAAAAACATACTAGAATAAAAGAATTCATCTTCATGGACATTAATTTCAAAACTGCATGTATTTCATATTTTACCCACCAAGAGCAGCTAGAATGGCTGCTGTCCAAAACACCTCACCGAGGAGGGCAGGAATGTATAAGAGACCCCCCATCCTTTGTCCATACTTCTCTTGGAAGGGGTCCAGCATTGTCACATAACCCTCCGTTCTCATCTTCTCAGCAAAAAATAGACCACCTTTAAGAAATGGAGACAAGATGAAGTGTGTGGAATTTTGAAATGAGTACAAACACTTTCCATTTATAAAGAAATTTGCACTTCATTTTTATAACCTTTGAAATTTAATTGTTATTATCAGTAAATATGCTTAAGGCATATCTAGATTTACACATTTACTTACCAAACACTGAGCTTAAGGCACATTTAGATTTACACATTACTTAACAAACACTTAGCTTAAGGCATATCCAGATTTACACATTTACTTATCAAACACTAAGCTTAAAGCATATCCAGATTTACTTACCAAACACTAAGCTTAAGGCATATCCAGATTTACACATTACTTACCAAACACTAAGCTTAAAGCTTATCCAGATTTACTTACTTAACAATGAGCTTAAAGCATATCCAGATTTACTTACCAAACGCTATGCTTAAAGCATATCCAGATTTACACATTAAATACTAAATAATTGTGTCAATCTGGGTGTGCCTTAAGCTTGGTAAGTAAATGTGTAAATCTGGATAAGTACTTACCAAATACTAAGCTTAAGGCATATCCAGATTGACACATTTACTTACCAAACACTAATCTTTAGGCATACCCGGATTTACACATTTACTTACCAAACACTAAGCTTAAGGCATTTCCAGATTGACACATTACTTACCAAACACTAAGCTTAAGGCATTTCCAGATTTACACATTACTTACCAAACACTAAGCTTAAGGCATATCCAGATTGACACATTTACTTACCAAACACTAATCTTTAGGCATACCCAGATTTACACATTTACTAACCAAATACTAACCTTAAGGCATTTCCAGATTTACACATTACTTACCAAACACTAAGCTTAAGGCATATCCAGATTGACACATTTACTTACCAAACACTAAGCTTAAAGCTTATCCAGATTTACTTACCAAACACTAAGCTAAAGGCATATCCAGATTTACTTACCAAACACTAAGCTTCAGGCATATCCAGATTTACACATTACTTACCAAACACTAAGCTTAAGGCATATCCAGATTTACTTACCAAACACTAAGCTTCAGGCATATCCAGATTAACACATTTACTTACCAAACACTAAGCTTAAGGTCAAGATCTAGTAAATGAAATGTGCCTACAGATTTCTCAAATTTGAGAAATAAATTCCTTTAATGATGCTTTATAACCTTTGCTTGGTCAAATAAGGTGTTTCGGGGCATAATTTGTGGGCAAACAAGATGAAAAATCATATTTTAAACTGTCATTTTCAATGAAAAATTAAGAAAACCAGTCATGAATATGGGAGTTTTTTCCATATCAGACAAAGGAAATGTATCCAGATTGCCTAAAGTCTCTCAGAAAACGATGAAATAATATTAAACTGAATATAGGTATCAGGATTACTTTTCATAACGTTTCAAATTGAATTCCATGAAAATACTTTATATTCTACATAATTCTATTAGAGCAAAAAGTACGGGAAAAAGAAATTGAAATAATATGACGTCATAATGGATCTAGCACCTAAAAGAGAGTCGAAAGTCATTTACTAGATCTTGACCTTAAGGCATTTCTAGATTTACACATTACTTACCAAACACTAAGCTTAAGGCATATCCAGATTTAATACTTACCAAACACTAAGCTTAAGGCATATCCAGATTTACTTACCAAACACTATGCTTAAAGCATATCCAGATTTACACATTTACTAAACAAACACTAAGCTTAAGGCATATCCAGATTTACTTACCAAACACTTAGCTTAAGGAATATCCAGATTGACACATTACTTACCAAACACTAAGCTTAAGGCATATCCAAAAGGAGCTTGACACCACACCAGGCCATCCTTGAATATGTATTCAGCTGTTCCATTGATAAATCCCCCTCCTACCCATGTAGCTATTAAAACAAGTGACAAATGATAAAGCTTTTAAAGAATAAAGTAATGGCTTAGGAACTTTTACTGTAAATTGGTTTTATTGGTTATTAATCCTGTCAGCTTAAGGGACTATTCTGTTCAGGAATTGTTTACAGTAAAAGAATTGGCCTGGATAAGTTATATTGTGGAGGTCTGATCATATTGCATTATTAAACCTTATAAAAATAGGTATTTATCAGAATTAGACTACTTTAAACTTAATAGTAACGTATTTATGCTGAGAAGAGTGTGTAGTGATCAGTTTACAGCCACACCTTGTTAGGACTTGACAAACAAAAACACAAAAGAATCTTTCACTGCTTGTTTGAAATTACAACTTGACTGAAATGTATGCTACATCAAATATGTTTGTATTTAATGTTTTAATTATTCAGTAGCAAATTACATCAGTATCTGGGACATAGTAATGCTAATATATAGAACACCTTTCCTATGGATTCAAAGTTATTCCATACTTCCTTCACCAAATCAATACATTAAACAAGAGGCCCTTTGGTCAAAAGAATGTTCTTTGTACCACATTGTTATAATCTTATGATAATTAATAATGCAATGAGAACAACTGATGTGTCCCCAATCTTAATATAGGGGTCATGATTTTACAATTTTAACTTTTAATAACTTATGCCTGCTTATTTTTTCTCATTGGGCTGTTCCTAAAAAATGGACCTAGATGATTTCTTTTGAAATTTTACAAATACTGTGCAAAACTTTTGACCTATATTTTTCTCTTCTTGGCTCTGAGGGGTATACTATGTTGCATACCCTGCCCTTCCTGATCTGCAGAAGCATATATGTAACCCCCCCCCCCCTCCACTGCTCAATGACCCTGAGTGCCAAGTATAGGTCTAAATTTACAGCCCTCCACTGACATGTGGTAGCGTCTCCATACAGGTGAAAAATTCTCGAAAGGGACGTTAAACAAACAAACACTAATAACATTTTTAAAGTTATCTCCCTTTTGAAAAGGATATGTAAAGTTGACAATGATGCATTTTGACAAATTGGTTGAAATGGATCTTGAGGCTATGGTGAAAATAAAACTAAAGGTTTATAAATGATGGCTGGCAGACAGATGCCAGGATTGATTTGAACAGTAAAAGCTTAATATGAGTTTTAAGCCCCTCAGTATAATAAGGGGTTGAGGGTAGGGTGCATGCAGCCTCTCTGCTGGATACACCCATGTTAATCTATTATCCCATATACTATTTATTTATTGCTTTAACAGTGTGCTGCAAAGGCATATTTAAACAGAAAATAGGGCATTAAGAATTATTATAGCCAAGATACAGTAAAACTCGTTCAGTTACGAATATAGCAAATTTATGGATATAGTGAAGTTATTTTTGAATCTTCAACAAAATTTTTAACAATTTTTTGTAAAATTTTAGTTATAAGAAACTAATTTTGAGTCCCGCAAAGGTTTAAAATAAAAATTTACATCATTTATAACGATTTTTCAAAGATCTCAAAAATAAAATTAATCTGACATTATTTTTCACATGTATTCTTATCTACTATAATTCATCAGAAAATTTAATTATTCATGGTAAATTTTGTATTAAATACTTCCCTGGACATTCATTGATTGTACTCCAAGTTAAAAGAAAACATGTATATTTCAAATTCACTATATATACTTTTACGAATTTGTTATACAGATAATGAATTATATCTGTAGCAAAGTAAATTCTATAACCAAGTTTTACTGTAGTAAATGCCTGAAGATACTTCAACTGAGAACTTTTTACTCTTGCAATTGAAGTTTATAAACTAAAGAAAGGCAAAGGATGGGAGTAAATAAAGTCATGATCTGGAATAATTTTCAAACTCCAGTTTTGATAACATTTGTGAAAATAAACTCCTTTTTCAGTCAATACCTCAAATAACATTGAACAGAGTACTTTTTTAGACTGGACTCTATTATGATTAACGATTTTTCTTTTTATTTTAGCTGGAATATGGATGTATATCTTCTAAGCCAATCTCATTACCAATATTAATTTCTATAATGACTTTCTTCAATAGAAATATTATCTTTTCAGTTGTAACAAAAGCTGGAAGAGAAATTAAAAAAAAAAGTCATTTCTTTATATATTACAAATAACAGAAGCAAAGCATATATTGATTTTTGAAATGGAAAAGTCTAGTAAAGAAGCTTGATAAATCATATCTTTTTTTCTCCCTTCTTTTGACTCGAGTGACATTTTGGCTTCTAGTTCTACCATGAAGCCTGCATAAGCCATATATCCCCTTTCATAATTTGACCGACCCTGATGTGTATGCTTTCATATAGGAGCAGCTGAAAATTCCCAACAAGTCTACAAGTCAGAACATTTGCTAAAACCAATCTTTTACAAATGATTGAATATTCTATATAGAATAATCAGTTAGTCCTTGGAAACAGGTTCTATCAATTTTGAAGGATGAGGCACTTAGTAAATGACTATATAAGACAAATCTCTGTATAGACTAGGAACATTTTTGTTGTGTTAGTTACTCAAACCCACTTGGTTTGACATGTCAATGCTACAATTAAGGCTTAAAACTATAAAATTTTAAGTGATACCGTATTCAGTATTATAAACAAAAATCTTTTTTATATTATTTTCCAGTATAGACATAAGAAAGTTAGTAAATTTACATATTGTTGTTATATACAATACAGTGTACTGATATCAAGTGCTTTTACATAATTAAATGGCAATTTTGTGTTTTGGACTATCTTTCTAAAGGCACAGATCATTTTTTAGCCTAAAAATCAACAATTATACAGGATTGGTTTGTGTATCCTTTCAATTTGATATCTAAGATTAATAACATTACCAAGATTACTGCAGTAGGTAAATCCCAGGAAATGGCCAGTGTCCTATAACCAATCATTTATAATATCTCATTACTTTACTTAAAGGACCTTTATATGGAGAATCATATTTCCAATTTAATACAACAGAGAAAATTCATGGCATGAAAATATGCTTTCATCAATTCTAAATATGAAAGTTACAAAGGAACATTCTGAATGTGCAGCCTATTTAGAAACTTAATTGACATGTACTGCAAATCAATTGAATCTCACAAAAATTGAAGACTTGCCCAGTAATAACAAAACAAAGACTTAATTGACTGTTACTAATTATGTATTGGAACTTATAGATCTACAAGTCAACCTTCTTATCATAAAACACTTTATTTCATTTGATGACTATGACATCTATCAAGCCTGAACAAAAAGAAATGGATTCAGAACACACACATGTACTGTTCGTGATAACCACAGCAAGATAAAAACGTATCAGAACGAAGGTAGGCAATCTATAATTTTCAGTGGCTGAAATGAAAGAATATTGTACTGTATCAAAAGTGTAGGGTCATAAAACCCAAAAATGTACTATACCAATAGTATAGGGTCATAAAACCCAAAAATGTATTATATCAATAGTATAGGGTCATAAAACCCGATCACTGAAGACATAGGAGCTAAAAAAGGCATTTTCTTTCTGATCTGAGCCTTACCAAAGTGCTGAACTAAGAGTAGACAACAGTGAATCCATCAAATCTAAGATTTTCTCTCCAACCGCCAGTCAAATCATGCAAGTTTCTAATGACATCTTAAAGACAATAAAAAAGAAAAACCCAAAGTCTTTTATGCTTAATTTATGCTCAGTTTGGTATTTTGTATTCAACTTTTGTGATATTAGCATTTGTAGAAGACAATTCAAATTTGAAAGATAACACGGAATATTTATCAAACTCTTAATTTCTCATTTATGTGCAATCATGCAATGTCAGGTGGCAGGAAAGGGAATTGATTTTTCTGTCTATCAGTCTCTGTGCTGGCAGGCTGCACTCTGGCTATGAATGACATGCTATCTTTACCTCAACTCTCAAGAATCTACCATTAAATAAGAAAAATTATTGCTGTTTCATTTTCTGTTTAATTGCCTCATTTATGAGGTAAAAGGATTGGCTATGTGAAACTTTCCCCTCAGTATTGCAAGTCATCTTCTGACATCTCAGCAAGAAGAAAGACAATTTATTTTCTGATTTCATGCAAAATGCCTCTGATTTTTTTCATAGGCTTAAGGAAATTGCCCTTAGATTAGGTCATAATTTAGAGAAATGACATAAAAAAAAATCTGTTCCTCTACTATTGGTTGAATTAAACCGATGACTTCTTGCTCCAGAATGGGGGCATAAGGACATGATCGCATGTTATAATGTAAATCAGAAAAGATTTTACAGATTACTTAGGTGATTAGAACCACATTCCACATACTTCTGAGAAAATGCTTACCAAAAATTTGAATATATATATAGCAAGAAGATAAAATGTCAATTTGACTGAAATTTAAAAGATAGCAAATTTCAGTCTTAGAGGTGATTAACAAGAAGTTTGTGAGCCAGTGCTCACAAGTAATACCCCTGCTCTAATGTGAATATACACTAGCTCTCATGAATCCCATTATATGGCATACCTAAACAAAGAGTGTGCTAAAATTTCAAGCATTTGCTGAGAATCAAAAAATTAAAACTGTGAGAAAAATTGTTATGGACAAATTAACACACAGACAGACAGACAAACAAGGGTAAAACAGTATATCCCTCTCCTTCTGAGTGGGGGTATAATAAATGGAGACTTTATTTCCTCCACAGTAGCAGTTTTGCAACATAGATTAACAATTCGCTATGTATATCAAATGCAGTTTTTTAAAGTTTATTTAAATAAATTAATTAAATGTGTTTAATGTTTTGCATGAAATAAGATTTTCTGAAGAAAATGCTGAAAATTTGAATTTACAGTGTGCATGATGTACGCGTACGTCGATTTAAATGATGACTGATTCATAATTAAACATAAAATAACTTACATGTATATTCTATATGCTATAGTCATCATCATATGGGATCTTCTCCAGAGAGAGAGGGAACTATAGTCTTGTACCGACCAGAATTTTGG